ACTCCAACGGCGTTCGACACTTCGTTCCTTAGCAACAGTGGGTGCTTTTCAAAATTGTACATTTCTCGGCATAATCTTTTATTACGCGCAGAGGCCGCATTTTTAATGTTCTCCATCTTTTTTTTATTTTACTTTGCAATAAAAAGTTTTGGGTCACTACTTACATAAAATAATCTTTATTTTTGGACTCCAAATTTTTATGCTTTGAGGTTTTCTTTTGGAAAATTTGAAGAGAAATAGTTTTAGAAATCTGCTATGGTTAGCATTGAGAATGCAATTTTTTGTGATTATGCACAAATTATCTTTAGACTTTTGAAATTCTATAGGATGGCATATTTTTCTTTTTTGACGTTCGAATAGTGCTTTTGCGGTGCTTACAACACTCGCGCGTAAAGGTCGACATGGAAAGCACTTGTGTAATCGTATGACAAGCCAAACGCCAATTTTTTCACAAGTGTTTTCATCAGCTTAGGGAACTATATCCAATATTTGCTATAAGTTGTACGAAATTGTCCTTACCTCCTAACCTGTTGTGCAAGTACGCACAACACTCAGATACGTCAAAATCAGGGCTTGATTGTCACACTCCCACACATATTTGCATTAGCTTTCCGAATTTCTTAGTCAGAAATTACTTTCTATTGAGAAAACATTTGGAAACTCAAAAAAGAGTTGTGTAGGCCACGAAAACTAAAATCTGGCTCGTTATCATGTTGTGCAGTTGCACATATTACGTCTCGCTAAGTGCTTTTTTTATTTTCTGCTTTTTTCTGAACGTCAGGTAACTATTTGTCAGGTTTCCCTGCTTTATGCAAATTGGCCAATAAAAACTGCAATTTGACGCGCAATGTGCATGTTGTGTGCGATTGCACATGTTGCGTTATAAATAGTCGCGACTGTACTAAAGCGCTTTATGCTGAAAGAGATTTGGTGCAAGTGCACAATGCACTACTGATGCGAGTCACAAATCTTGTTATCGTTTCGCTACAAAGTGGAACGGATTTAGATTTCTCTAAATCGCAACGAATCGCGAATTCCGTTCGACTGACGTCAATCTAGAAGAAGTAGCAATTGAGCACAATAGCGTGGAGCAATTAAGCATCAAAATGCCATTCATTAGCTTCGCTGTGATTTTTCTGAGAAAAAAAACATAATTAGCTCTGTCCAATGCGGAACTGCACAGTTCGATGAGGCTTTCGAGTTTTTCAAACTGTACCGAGGATTTAAACGAGCACAAAAAGTTTAATAAAGGCGCAAACCACTGATTACCATCTAGTTTTCATTTCATATTTTTATCTGTGAATGGCGCTAGTCTTCCGCACTACTGAAATTGCTCTTCATTCGCTTCTTTCATCAGCTTTTGCTGTATTTTGTTGGAAATTTTACTGACATTAATATAAAACGTTGTAATGTCTAGAGAAAGCCATTAGTGCGCATGAAAAATTATTGCATCATTAGCAGGCAAAAAATCAGAGAACAAAGCGTGGGTTGAGATTATTGCCTTCGTTACTACTTGAAGTTCAGAAAGTTTAGAAAGACTTTGATATAGTATAATTGCGGTATTACAACAGTTACGCGTAAAAAATGGTCATAGTGCGCAAAGCTTCAAAGTACGCGTTCACTAGCAATCTTTACGCGCAAATGTTGTCGTCACCTTAAAGATGTCAAACTTCTAATCTACTGAACTAACGGTAAGTGAGTAATTTACCTTAGAATCTCCATTTCTTTGATTTTGCAGTTAAGCATAAAAATGAGCTTTGATTCGCGATGCTGTGCCTTTGCTTGGCATTTTTTACGCATAAGTGTTGTCATCACCGCAAGGGCACTATATCGAACTTCGAAACTACTAAGTTGTGCAAGTACTAGATGTGAACATATGTCTTTGTGAGCTCTGCCAAATCAAAAGAATTCGTTGGATTTAATATGAAATTGATAGAAGAAATCATGCGGTTTTTGTCAGTGCTTAGAAAAAAATTGTAGTTTACATGCAGCTGAGATAGAAGCTGGTAATAAACTTTTATTTTTGATTTTGGATACTCAAAAATGGTGGAAGGTTTAGCAACCTCTGATTTCACTTTCAGTTCAAACTTTATAATCTACTCTCTTTTTATGAAATGATTTGCAATTACTGGATCTCCCCACGAAAACAAGTTGTGTTTCTCACATGTTTTTCGAAGTTTGATTTTGTACAGATAAGATTGCTAATATGCATAATAAAACTGTATATTTTGTGTATACCAGAAGAAGTGTTTTGCAAAGTGAAATATTTGCTGAAGCATTTTTGGGGCAAGACTTATGTTCCAACCTAATAATTTGTGACCCAACCTCTATCCTCCAGATATGCTTCAGTTTTGGAAAGCAACACTCATACGAGAGGCGAACTTCTTCAGTTGAGCTGACTTCATAAATCTCAATCGCCAGCTTTTTCGGCTCAGCTCATTCATCTTGCCTGTCTTCAACTTCTCTCCTCTTCTGCACTATTTTTTGCAACAGCACTCTCACAAAGTGCGCTCCAGAGCTGTCCTCACATTCTCAGGGTCGAGCCCCAGCGCTGCGCTTCTCGCTTCGGGCTCGTGAATACCCCCTAATTGTCGGTTCTTCCATATGCAAATCTCTTGAGCTGTTCCGAGACGCTGCAAGGGAATGACCAGCCATAAGCATTAGCCTGTATCGTATAATCGGAAGCGAGGGAAGATTACGAATTGACGAATCTAAGGCATTTTGATGAATATGGGGCAAGCAGTGACAAATCGGTTCTTGATTTAGTAGATTTGACGGTCAAATTGGTACTGTTGTCAAGTGACTTTCACACCTATCAAATATAATTTAGTATGATAGACTTTGGGAACGGGTTCTGTAGTAAACGCCGTTGTGATCAATTAACGAGTGGTTTGCCAGGCAAAGCTCAACTAAAATACTAGGACAAAAGCTGGATTTACTCACAGAAGCCTTCCCATCAGAACTATATTATTTACGCTTATTATAGGTTTACGAGCGGGCACGACAGTGAGAAATCAAAAGTTTTGTTGATGTTCTCCATATTGTATCTGTTTCTGTATAATGGCGCATCGCTACTCAACAAGATATCAATAAATAAATAGGAAAATAAATGAATAAGTAAATATACCAAACAGACAACGATAAAAGACGGCTGGAGTGACAGTGAATGCTGTTGCACTGCCGACAACACTTGCGCTTAAGAAATAGCCATAAGTGGAAAACTTGGATAAGCTCTACTCTTGAACAATTCTTCTCAGAAATATTGTCGGCACCTCACTATATTATTGCAATTTATTCGGCTATGTATGGCTCAACAAATCAAGCAAATGAATGCATTATTGAATTATACAATCAAAGGAAGGCAAGATATGCAAATTGATGCGTGACAATTCTAACATTTTATGAAAAGAAAACCCATTGAAATATGTTTTCTTATGCAAATCACGCCATTTTATTGCACTATTACATTGGGGATCTGGAGCCACAATAGCTGCTGATAAGGAATCAGCTGATGTTTTGCAAATAATCTTGTGCTAGTTTTCAATCGAAACTCTTCACTATTAAGCTTCTTATGTTGGTGTTGGTGTGGGTTGGGTAAATTGTTGTTTTTTACTGTAATCTTTATAATCAAGAAAGTTTGAAATAATTGCCATGGTATACTTAACCTCTCAGTCAATTTCAACTCTACCTCCTCTTTAGTGGGTGCCTTTCGTGTAAATACAATTGAAAACCTATTCTCATGCCTCATGATAAAAAATGCATTGGCATCTGACAGCCTTCACTGACCTACGATATAGGGTTAGCTAAGGTAGAGTTCATTTATAAAATCGTGACAACCGGTTTCACTGCGGACTTTGCCCCCAAAGAATCATAAAACGCTCATACAAGAAGGCATCACTTCAACGTTCAGTTCAGTCACTTCCTGTGTCTAAAATATTATGATAATATTATGATAAGCAAAAAAACCATTCGACTAGAGATAAAAACCAAGAAAATGCGATTTGCGGAAGTGGCGTGCGTGTCGCGAGCGGTCGCGCCATTGTCGGTTTTGGATTCTGTAATCTCGAACCATTTTTGTTGGCTAGTATCACTTATCATTCTGTGTCTCATACGTACCTGAATGATTGTTGATTGAGACTTTTGACCATGTTGATTTCAAGTTTCTGTCTAATTTAATGTTATTTTCCTTCTTTTTCCTTGCTGACTATTACTTAGTTATTCTGCTTTGTTATGATAGATGCAGAGGTGCATTTTGTGCATTTGATAAGTAAACAAATAAATAAATGTTGTGAAATATAAAATAGCAATGCTTTGGTAAATAGGAGTGCTACTGCTAATTTACGGACTTTTCCGTACTAACTGAGTTCGAATTCGCCTCAGAGATCATCAAAACTTTGACACAAGGTTTCTTTTTCGCAAAAGTGTCAACATTATATAGATAGTGTGAACTGTTTCTGTTGCAAAACAAAATTTGAGTAAACCAGACCATTTGTTATTTTTTCGCACACGTTTTGTGGTATATACGCAACACCATGAACCCTTTTCTTTTTCTTCGTTGTAATTCTATATGCCCAGTTAAAATATGATGTTGAGGCTGTCTCTTCATTTACTTTTCCGAACCAGCATTGGCAAAAAAAGTTGACATGCAATTCTTCACTTGGAATTTGTAATAGGCTGAAAAAAAGAAAACTTGAAAAATGATCCATCCTACACCTTCCACGAGTCGTTTTTCGAGAAATGTCACACATCCATTATGTTTGGCTGTTTGGCCATCCAGGTCTGCTCAAATAATAAGCCAGAGTTTCATCGTTTCTAAATCAAGCGTGTTCTTCTTTTTTTATCTCTGTCAGCGCTTCATATACGCTTCGCTTCTCTTTCTGTCTTTTCTATTCATCACTTCATCGACGCACAAAGAAACTTGCCAAGCGCAATTCACGGCTCATATACCTTTTATGTTCGTTGCATGGCAATTGGTCTCGGACCCAAAAACGAAATTGATACTCTAGGTGGGGTAACGACAAGCCGAGGCTTTTATATGGCAATGTTATGAGGGTCCCATTGTTGGAACACTTTCAATATGCTAGCATTTTTCTTGAATTTGAGGTGAGTAAAAGGGAGGGGAGGGGGGGGGGGGAGGGCAAAAGTGTTTTTTCGGTGCTATTCCACTCCAGTTGATCCAAAAACTCGAGGCTCTATTGCTAGAACTTTTTACCCAATAGGGTTATTCGGCACCTTACCACAAATGTGTTGATTCTGCGCTGTAAGACTTTTGGGACTACGGTAGGTAGGTTAAAACCTAAAAATTTGCTTACATTCGCCTATGGGGTTTTCAGCGATGTGGTTATGCTTCTGTTATGGTTACGGTTCAGAAAGATGAGCATGACATGCAAACTTTGAAAAGGCTGAAGAGTCCTGTACCCCTTCTGGTAGAAGATTTAAGCAAACCAAATTTTTGGCTTACCTACCGCATGCCTACCATACCGTAACCTACCAAGGTCATCAGTTTTTGGGCCAACTACTGTGAAATAGTCCCTTTTTTGCATACAAAGCTTTTCAATCCATTATTATTTTGTTTTCAGGAGCAAGTCATTTCTTCGCTCGTCTTCGGGCACTTCGTACCCCTACCCTCGCACCCATACAACTCTCATGGTAGTCCCGTCAACTCGCCCCATAGGACCGGAAGAGCCTCGAGCGCCCAAAAAGCAGGTAAGCTTTTGTTTTTTGCTACCTGCTGGTAGCGGAATGTTGTCGTGACCAATTCCGTCGGCCTCACATCTCTTATAATTGTCTCAGCAATTTCTCATATCCACTTGTCACCGTCCGTTGCCATGTCGACTCAGCAAGCAGTTAAGCGGAATTGTCATGCTCATAGCTCAACATTTCTTACTCTTCAATCTTTCCACAAAGAAAAGGGAGAACTTGTCTTGCGTTTATGGTACCATAAAAAATCGTCTGAGAGGCACATTTATAGCTATACTTCGCAGGAGATAAGGAAGTTCTAGTACTTCCTTGTTGGTTTTTGGGTTTTTATCTCTCCAAACAACGAGTGGAAAGTTCTAAATGTTGAGAAGAGTATTCCAAATAATATTCCATATTTTACTATAACAAAAATTGATATACTTCCATTTATCATACGTGTAGACTACTTTACGCATCGTTTTGCTTTCCACAATGCCTTATATAATTTATTTTATATGTATGACAATGTTATTTTTTTGCGTTTCATGAGGAAAAGCTTTTTGAAGTGCAAAGTAAATTGATGATTTTTCTGAAAATGGATTCAAAATCTTTATTTCAAGTAAGTTCAGGCAAATTATTGTATTTTACGCAGCGTGCAGTTTCAAACACCATATTTACATTTTGTTACATATTTTTCCCACAAAAAGAAGTTTTTACAAGAAATTGAAAGATAAACTTTTTCATAATATTCAAATTTACTTCATCTTTAGTAATCTCTGTGAAGAATCATTTCAATTTTATCATCTGTTTATGTTTACTGATTCAAAACTTTTCTTTTCCACTATGTGATTTTTGATCTCGCTTTCGAAACCTTTATTTACAGGGTGTCCCAAAAAAATGTATCGAACGTTTGATCGTTAATATCTCTCTTCCCAAGAAGTCTTTTGCCTTGCTTCAGCTACCGTTTTGTAGAGCTGGCTTCAACTTAGATTTGCAGTATAGTATGAATCTCCCATCTCTTTTCGTTACTGTAGGATTACGGTAGAAACTTGAAACATATAATGTCAATGTGGAAAAAGCTGCCGTTTCAAAATTTTTCAAAAAATGTGAAAACTTGTGTAATAGGGTTTTTATGGACGCTGAGTTCAATATTCAACTATTCGCAAGATTGCGAAGCTTTCTAAACGGCGTAACCGCACTTTTTAAAAACATTGAAAAAATGGCCGCTACCTCTTACCTGGCATAACTCTTCAATAAAGCATCATAATAAGTTGGGAACTTTACATTTAGAATCAGCAACTCCAATTAGCCTAGTGCAAAAGCTTTCAGGCTGTTTTATTACCTTTCTGAGGCAAAATATGGCCTTTCATTGCTTAAAATCCTCTTTGAAGTTTCTACCGTAATCCTACAGTAATGAAGAGAAATGGGTGACTCGTTCTATGATGCAAATCTAAGTTGAAGCCAGTTATACAGATCGGTACCTGAAGCAAGAGAAAAGACTTCTTTAGAAGAGAGATATTAACGATCAAACGTTCGATACATTTTTTTGGGACACCCTGTATACTATTCAATTCTAATTGTGTTTATCTCGCATTCAAATTAGAATAAGCGCTTTACCCCTCTATTTTCTCTGGCTCAGCATGTATGATCTCCATTCAATTCATTTATTTCTACACATAATCGTTCAAGCGTTCTTTTTTGTCAAACAATTTGCTGAGCTGGACAGGTTGCTATACTGCTAGAAATCTTGTTTGCTCAATGTGTTTTAACGTTTAGTATGAGCATGCCTCGATTGTTATATACACCAAATCGAAATGATTTTTCTGCGCTTAAATCTGGTTTTTCTAAAATTCTCATAATATCCAAACCAGAATTCGGAACGCTTTCTATTCAACAGTTCTTATAACGTCGCGACCAACTAGTCTCACGATATCTACAGCTTGGCCCTCCCATATTTATATATCCAAATCCTTACTATCATTACTTTCTTTGTGGATTGGGAATTCATTCTCTCACAATGTCCTATGCTCTTATGCTTTAGAAAAACTTTTTTGATCAATGTAAAAGAAAAAAATCAAATGTCTGAGCAAGAAAATTTTTTTCACGAAAAAGCACTTTATGATTTGCATTTCCGTATATGCGCATCTGTAGATCTGACACAGAACTATGATTTTAATTTGCCTTCAATATCTATTGAGCGTTTTTTCGGCGCAAATTAAAAAAAATTTTGTGGATTTTAAAGGAGAAATTTTGATTCAATTGCTAGATCCCAACTTCTTGAGCTCGAACATTTTCATGACATTAATCAAGTGCGAGTAATGCAGGTCTTCTTCAAATCCTCTAAAAAAGACTTTCAATTTTTTTCTGTATAACTTCCCGTATACAAACTTGTGGTGTAATCATGACTCTTATTAAAGACTACCACATGTTTTTTCGAACAATTTGCATTCATCACTTTCACGACAATACGACCTCGGTGGGTCGTATGTGTTATGCCACTTCGGACAATACGACCCATGGGTGGTCGTAAGTTTGACAAAATGATAAAGACTCTGGTCCGAAACGGCAGTGGTCGAAATCGGCCTTGTCGTGAATGTGTTAAATAACGAGAAAATCTTGCATGATGTGTGTATCATTCATTGGGAGACTAAGAATTAAATTAGTCGAGATTTGAGTTAAGGTACAATATTGCTTCTGCAATGCGGTATTAGAGATATGGTCCATATTCTGTCTTGAAAGCAAAGATTGTGCCTTCGTTTTGACTCTACAAATAACGCTATAAAATTTTTTTCTCACTCGCATTGCATCGCAAAATGTTGTAATTGTCTCATGTCGATGTATAATCGCACAAAAATAGCAATTATTTTCTCCTCCTTCGCCTTATCAAAATTCAAGATTCAGCTAGAAGCTTTACGATGTAGAAGAATTCATGCATAAAAGAGCTCTGTGGAGAACACTTGATGTCATGCTTTGTTATTTACTTTGTTTTGACACTTAATATCACACTTTGCCATTTCTTTTGTTTACTTTGATGTCGCACTTTCCACTCGCTTGGTTGCAATTCTGCAGATTATTGGGCTGTACAAGTAAAAAAGAATCTCGATTGTTTGCAGTGCCTAATGCCTCCTCCGTCAAAATTATAATTTTTCTTATCATTGCATATTGTTGCTGATGTAAGCATATTGTGCTCCACAAATGAAGAGCCCAGGCGAGCTCAGAATGATAACAGTACAGCTAGTTCTGTCGGATTATTGGACTAAGCTGGTTTTTTGCTAGCTTGCTGCTTTTCCGCTAATATCAGTGCTATTGTCATCGCTGTTATTATGACAGCAATGCTGCGCTGGCGACTATGAAATCAGTCCTATTCAATTGATTTTTTCAACATTTAGCATTTAGCACAACATCAACTCAGTATCTCTCTAGAGTATAGCTTTTTCTCTGAGCTCGTTAATCCTGCTTAATGTAAAAAACAAATGTTGAGTGGTTTGCATCTGCTTACATATGGAAATTGTTAGCTGAACAAGTACCTAATCAAATCAAAGTTAGTTGTCGTTATTGCGTGACTCAATGTAATTTTCTTTACAATTAACTTACATTCACGATCACGAGGGTGCTGGCATTAGCCAGGCATTTCGAAAAAAAATTTTATGGTGCTTCGCAAATTTTTTCGCGGGCACATGACCACGAATTATGAAGAGAGGGCGCCCCGAAAAAAAATTTCACGAAGCCAAATCGAATTTTTAATTAAATTTGAATATCATTTTAATTATTTAGAAGTATGTAAAACTTGCACATTTCTATAACACATGCAAGTGACTCCCAAAGATTTCGCGACCCATTCTGGGGGTCAGATGTTTTGAACTCGCCAAGTAGCATAAGATACCATATCATCCTCAAAGAGTAACCTCATTTAATTTTTCAAATAGTTCCTACTCCCTCCCACTTTGGAACAATCATCAACGAGTGAGATGAACTGCTTTAAAGCACCTTTTTTTCACTTTTTCAGCAAATGACATTTTGGCTGTCAATTTAGTGCAGTCCATGTGATTTTTTTCGATATGTAAGCATAATTTGTTGACTCTCCATTTCAAAAAGAACACTACTGATGCCCCGAGCTGGAGCAGAAACGATTAGACATTGCAAAGGGGATCAGCCATATCTAAAACAAATTATGGCAAATCATTTCAGTTCCAAAATATATATTCGAAATGACTTTAGAAAAGCCTAACGAATAATTTTTCTTGATAAGTCTTTGAGGAATATCAGGTATGCTGGAGTCTTATGACGATCGGGTTTTTGGCAAAAATTTTGAGGAAATGAATTGACAATTCATAACGAGGAATTAGACGCTTATAACCATATTTTAACCGATTTTTCTCAATCATCAGCAAATCTTTTTTGATCTTCACTGCTGACCGCTCTGAGTTTTTGCTAGTACCCGACTGGTAAATGGGGTAACCTCGTCACAGAGAGTGTCGATAGCATCGATAGTAAAAAAAAGCAATTGAAGTTGTTAAAGCGATAGGCTGACATTAGTTACATCTCCCGTATTGTATCACAATCGAAACGAATTGCGAAATCGTGACAGCTATGATTGCCACGAATGGTGATTGTCGCTGTTTATAAAAAAGCAGATTTCAAGTACTATAATATTAATAATTGCGGTTTTCGTCACAGTTGTCGTGCGCTTTTAATGCCAATCTCGTTTCATACCAGTTCGGCTGCTTGCGGTTCACAAAACCTCGGTATATAGCTCATATGTTTGTGTGTAGAAAATTTCTGAATGCACTGATATTAGCACGCAAGCAGCAAGCTAGCATAAGACCAGCTAGTTCAATAATTGGACAGAACTACATAGCTGTACTGTTATCATCCTGAGCTCGTCTGGGCTCTTCATTTGTATTTTCCTTTGTTTTTATTTCGTAAAATTTTTGTTTTTTTTGTTGTTATTATTATTTTATTTTTATTTCATTTTTTTATTTCGTAAAACCTCGATCTATAGCTCACACGATTCTTTCTAGATTCTGCAATATCTCGTCGCTAATATTATTTTGAATTTTGCTTTTGTGTGTCGCAGTTGTCTAACAAGCGTGTAAAATATAGTGAGCTACTTCCTCATAAATCTTCCTTCCTAGTTCAAATTCTTTGGCCCTTGTTTCAGAACTTTGACTTTAACTCACATGAATTTTTTTCTCGATAGCCATTGAAGCAGCTCGATGGCCAGAATGAAAATTTGCGCCACTATCATAGCCGCTATCCCGAGCTGAACTAGTCGGACATTCATTTACATAGAGATTGTCAGCCAGGACAGCTATTGTTATTGTTTACGTGGACGGCCACTAGGCAGTTTTACTAGTCTCCTTCAAACTCAGAAGTACCTCCCGCAGTAGACTTTACTTTAGCCAGACTAGAAGTCAATCTGTACTTCAAGGGGAAATAATAGATTAAGAAAAAAAGCCGATTTAAATTAGGCTGGGCCGAAAGTTCGTTGGCATCTTTCTTAGGAAATTGTAACCTTCTCGCAATTTGATGAATTTCCACAAGTCTGATTTTATCTGAAAGCAAAATCGAGCCCATTGCAGTATATCTTTGCCGTGAATCAATATGAGAAAATAAAGAGTCAGAACAAATGAAGAGCATCACGCCAATTTTAAGATCACAATAACTAAACGGTTGCAGGGTAAGACGGAGAAAATATTGTTCAACGGGGCTTGTACATTTTTATTCCAATTTTAATGATTTGTTCATTTGAGTCTTGCGGTTACTCATACAAAACCGAGTGTGGGGACCGCTATGGAGAGCATAATCTCTGCTTTCAAACGAATAATTTTGAGGACATTCATCAAGACGCAAAATAGTTATGATTATTTCAGAAAGTTGCGAACGTTTTTTCGAACCAACCCAATGACTCTCTTGTTTGCCCACTGAAGTTTTTACTGCAAATGCCGAGTTACTCGCACATTGACTAAGGAGCAGTTTCCATGTATAGATGAATAGTTTTCACTGTTCCATGTGGAGCTGCATATCATGCACACCCTACTGTCCAAAAACATATCCCAATCTCTTCGCAAATTTCCGTACGACTATTGTTCCCCTCCAAATTTTTGAACAATCTATTGTCCAAAATCTGTTTGCATCTCTGTTTTAAGTTCTCTTGAAAAGCATATCTGTATGGATGTTTCACTCACGTGCTATGCATTTTTATTGTGCAGTTGCAGACGGCTTTACGGCAAACTGCACTACGCTGTAAACTTATGCATTATCGGATCTTTCTTTTATGTCATACAACCTTAGTGTAATAATGAGTGCAAAAGCAACTTTGTCTGATGTGCATAACCCGAAATACAGGAAAATCTCAAAAAGAGAGAGAGATCCTTTTACGTAGCTTTGTAGTTTCTATATTTTCGGATGCGAAAAAATGCTAAACTACAACTTTTTAGAATTAGAGGATAAGGATTCGTAATTCAAGTAAAATAAATAAGGTGGAAATCAAAAGTTTGAACTCAAACGATTCTGTTCATTCTTTTCCACATGGGTCTAAAAATAGGCCATAATAATCGCTGTAGGATTGGTTTATAAATACGCTTTGTATTTGCATTCCTTTGCGTTTTGTATAAAACGTGATCCCTGTTTTAGTAAATATTTTACCAAATTTCACTCCCATTTCAAATTTGAGAAGAAAAGTGATCACAGCGCAGCTTTATGTATAGATGCAATATTTTTTGTGTCGCGACATTGAAAAATCAAAATTGCAGCAAATTCTGAGACTGTCTACATAGTTGTTCAACCAAGAATAGTTCCTATTAAATGATCTAATATACGTTTGAGTGGGAAATGTCAGAAACCCAAGCAGCACATCCATCTTCACGAAGACACATTTTTTTGTCCTTTACAACATCTCTACAAGGAGTGGCAAAAGAATGCTTTGGCATGTCAGAAATGAAAAGTTGGGGAAAAAGATCGCCGCAAAACGCCTGAACATTTTCCTCCTGAACTCCTACTTTCTAATCAAATGTCAGTGAATATATAGTAAGATTTGGGTGGTTTAAACCTACTAACATTGAAAAGAATGATTTTTGTTAGACGGTCTACGCAAAAGGGCTCTTTCTCACAAAATTAAATTTTCTAATTTCAGAAACAAATTTTTAAATTAAATTCTTTGATGAACTGAGAAGCTGTATGATTGATGGTCGAGGCGGTTTCTTGGCTTCCCAAATTCCAGCTGTCCCCATAATTACGATGTATTCATGCTTTTGAGAAAAAAGAAAGTAAGCGACCAAAACGGACCAAAGCAATCCCAGAAATTTTGCACTTTAGCTCCCGTTCCAACCAAGAAGGCAAATTCATCTGCCGTCTCCATGTAGTATGACATGGCTTTCTGCTATTCATCCACTTTCTGTCATGTTCTTCGTGCTTGGACCCTAAGATTAATTGCTTCGCGTTAAGCATTCGGAGAGTCGATGTCTCTCGAGTGTCGCATCCGGCAAACTCACTTCAAGCTTCGCTGAAGCATGGCATTGCGCTGGAAATTCCTTTACCTCATTAAGTACCTCTTCCACATCATTGGTTAACTACCTTTGATCTACCACGTTACCATTACCACAATTTTTTCCTTGATCTACCTGGTTACCGTAACTTTTACCTGGCTACAGTAACTTCTACATCTTGACCTATCTATCTTGATCTACCTCAATTTACTTTTTCTCCCTTATTGTACCTCGTTGAGGTGCTCATTACCTTCCGTACTTTTTTTTCTCATCTCATCTATGTATCTTCAATCTACCAAGTCTTTGATTTTTATATTTTTCTATCTATTATTTACTCATAATTGAAGAATTGTTACTTGCAGTCAAGTGGAAGGCGGCCACCGCTAAATCGCTCTATTCCGCCAATCCCTGAATCGAAATCGAACGAAAGCATTATGAGCCACTCATCGCGAAGATCTATAGATAAGGTAAGTACTTCTTTTATTCTGGTTGATTATCGATCGGCACTTAAAGGCTGAGTTTCTCAGTTTCCATAGAAAGGAATGAAGAAAATATTATTTTGACTAATGAGCGAACAAAAACTGGCATCAGTCATCCAAAGGCTGAAGAAACATAAGAATCGATCGTATGAATACTCTGATCCTTTCTCGTAGTTTATACGAGAACGTAAATCGTACTTAGATATATACACTTAGAAAAAATGTAACTGAGAAAGAACTCAATGTAATTTCGAAGCAGGTGAATGAAAGCAATAACCTAGTTATCGTGCATTTTGTTTCTTGCAGCAGTCAAGCAGTGAACTGCCAACACTATGTTAGGTTTTCGTCAATGACTTTCTAGCAACAGTGTTTAGAGGAGGAACTACGAAACATGTTTTAAGGAGTAGAAGAATCTAACAACGTACATGTACAAAAACAAGCTTTACGATAGTCAGGCTTATTTCTAGCTCAGTCTTCTTCGCCTGCTGATATATTTTTTGTACATCCTTTTGGTATGTTCAAGCACTTCTACTGATTGTTATAACACAAATTTGATTCGTTAAAAGTTAACACAGGTGCTATTGCTTCCTTAATAGCGGGATTTTCTAGTTCTTTCTTTTTCATAACTATATGGTAAACGTCAAATTTCTGGCAGACAACTGGGATTGGAACTTAATAGCTAAAAGGAAGACAAAAATTTTTTGATGAACATCTTGCGATATAGTCGCAAATGAGGTGTCATAATTGTCTGATTTTCTAAAAAACGCGTCGGAAAAGAATTTGAGTTTGGAGCAGTATGTATAGTTAATTCTACTACTTTTGAAACATTCATACGACAAACACTTTTGATTATCCAGTTCAAACCACTCATAATTTTGTTCCCAAAATACCGCCGGATTCTAGATTCGCGCACTAATGAAAACAGTAGCAGAAAATAGATTCGCACATGTGGGGATATAACTCTCAGTTTATTATTACGGTCAGGATCTTCGGAATAGGCTCTATCATTACGTAGCCAATTTAAACTGTTCTCATCGTCAAGTAGGTCTATATCTAGAAGTCAGAAATTCGAAAGCTGTAAAAGCGTTTCGAAGGACCGTACTATCCCTGACGACAGTTGAAAGCGATTACCATCATAAACTTTGACACAGCAGTAAAAGAATTTCTTCATTTATGCATAATTAGATGCGGATATAATTTGCATACCATTGAGGTCTCAGGGTGCGAAAACTAAAAACTACTAATAAATTACTGACTACTAATAAGTATTATCTTAACCAACAAGGTAAAATAATTGAGTCACATGATAGTTCAGACCCCAATAATATTGGAAACTATGTGAATCTACTGGAGTGTAATTTGAATATTTTATTGACACTAAAAGGCTGCTCATCACTCTAACCGTTACGGCGAGCGTTTGCGCGAGAATGGGTAATCCCAGCTTATGAGAGCGATTACAGCTTCGCAGAAACTCGCCTCAACTCCATTTCGGACAAAATTTATGGGTTTCTTGAAGGTTATGACACCGACGACTTTGCACTAAAATATTTTTAACTTAATGCTATAACCTTTATTGCCATTTTAGTCACTGCAAACAAGTTTTAGTGGTTCTGACATCGTTGAGTCCATTACTGACTTTTCAGAGTCATCTGTTCTTTGCTCCACTGTTACTTATTCACATATCATGACATTGAAAAAACATAGGTCAGTTGGTTCTCTCACGCATATCGAATTTCGAGGGATTTGACGTCATCAGAAATGTGAGATGGTAGGCTTCGCAAGAAAAATTTCCACTCTGCTAATCATGCTTATAAGGGAAAGGGAAAGGAACGGGGGGGGGGGAGGGGAGTAGGGAGTAGCGCTCATTCCTTGACTCACATATTTAATGGGCAGGGAGGGGGGAGGGAGACGAACACGAAATTTTTCTGCACAAAGGAGCGTAGCATAAGCCTCCCCCACCCTCAAATTTTCTTCCTATTATTTGCTACATTTTTTACCCCAAAACTCCTTCGTAAAGAAAGCGACAGTTCGGTCAAGCTCTCTGTAATTCTTTTAAATAAGTAATTTGAATTTTTTGAAGATTTTGTTGTTGTCAGAGTTTGTCAAGTATTTGAATCTTAAAATTTAACGATAGCGCATAATCTCTTGACAATATTTATGTAAATAAATAAGCAAGTAAATAAATGCTGCAGTCATGATGCTGGAAACCATGTTAGATGAGTAATTTTCGGTCGAAAATACCACAAAAATAGGATACATAGTTTAGGTCTTGGAATTTTGAAGGAAAAAACCAAGACATGAAGAATTTGTCAAATTCTAACGAACTGAGTTGTTCCAAACGTTTTGCAAAAATCTTTGATACTTTGCCATGTTGGACTTTTGATATGGCATAAGATTTTTTTCTTTTGGAAGTTAGGTTATAAATCTCGTATCAATGTATGTTTATCGCGACAGCTCAGTGTTTTCTTTTGTGGCAATATATATAATATATAATATATTAATATAAAATAATAATATGATAATATAATAATAATATAATATAATAAATATGTATAATATTGATATATAAATATTATATTAATAAAAAGACTGAGAAGCTCATCTAGTGATTTACACTTCTTAATACAGTCATTAGTATCTGTTCAAAAGCTACTAGAAAGCGCATAATCCATAAAATGTTTTAGTAAAGCAGATGCCTTTCGAACTATTATAAAAGGGATAACGGATTTGCAAATGAAAGCACAGTTTCGGAACAACATAGCATGTGACCGACGGAGAATTCATATTTCATTGGCTGTCACATATCTTTGAATGCAAAAAAAGCTTTGTTGTCATGGAACATCCGAATGATGCTTAAAGGATTACTTGCAGGCAGATGAATCGCAGCCATCGGACTGCGTCGTAATCGAAAACCGGAACGTAGTACAGCAATTGCAACGAAATCCACCAAAATCTAGCACTGGCGTAAGTTTTATAGCAAGTTATACCCTAGAAAGAATAAAATCGAAGGAAAAGGCAGCGAAATGCTGTTACTTGGAGAAATAAATGCGCTGTGGCCAACGAATCCAGAATATTACGCGCAATGTTGGTGGTGTGTGCATTCACACAAATATGGATCGCTCACTGTTTGAAGGCAGGCATCATACTTGAACTGTAATGCGCTGCAGAACCGACTAAGAGATGCGGCGCACTAAATGACGCGCGTTTGACATTTGTTGTCGCGTAAGCGAAATTGAAACGGTCTGTTCGCTAATTGCAGTAGAAGATGATTTTCTCAAGATTATTTAGACAGTAGTAACTATTCATGAAATTTATTTCAGGGGAGGGAGAAGAGAATTTCTTCCAAGAGCGCCTCGAAAAATTTTGTAGGCTAAACTGAAAGCAATGGCGGTCAATGAAATCTTTGCGGCCAGGAGGGGAAAAGGAAAGAGCGTGAAAAAAAATTTTTGCAACTACTGTCCCCAAAAAAGTTATCCATGAATCTAATCTGCATTTCGCAAGCATTCAGGGATTGTTCTGATTGTTGAAAAATGAATGCCAGTCAGTACATATTTTAAAATTTATATAGACCATTTTGAATATTAGATTTTTGTGGAGGCCTTTACACACTCTCTTCCTCCCCCCCCCCCCCGCTTACCCTCACTTCGCCATTGTTAGCAGGAAATATTTCGGAGAAATGTCTTTGTTGATCAGTATGCAAGAAAATAAGCGCTATTTGCCCAAATTGCTCATTTTCGCTTACGTTGCACCAGATATCAAATGCCCGCCATTTAGTGTGCCGCTTGCCAACCAGTTCTGAGCCTGCTCACAGGTTAAGTATTGCCCCTGCTCAGATCAACCTTATTTTCCCGTAAGGGTTCCGGAAATACGAGGATGCCATTGTGACAAACAGCCTCATAGATACCTGTCGCATCTCATCTGTCAGCTGAAGATGTATGAGGCATAAGAAGTGCAGAATGTTATTCTCTCCGGGATAAATGTATGGCTTTTCTCTCTTTCTTTCAAGTAGTGTGTCGTGTCGAATCTGTAGGGAGGCCGGGGGACGTTTTACGTGCTTCGAAATGATTAATCTTCCGCTGCTTCCATAAGCCAGAAAGAGGCGGCGCAGCTTTACTTCACTTCTTTCGTCGTCCCCCTCGTGCTCGTCATGAGTCAACGTCCCTCTAGAGTAAGTTTACATATAAAATGTACATTTTGACTTATAGAAAATTCTAGTCCATTTTCCCCGCTATTTCCCCTTTTTTCCCTCGCAAATATATTCAAATCAGCCACTTCTCTTGCTTGGCTAAGGCAAGCGCCGATGAAACCCGCAATTTTTGGGGTCCAAAGTTTGAAAAGTCTACTGAAAACACATCCATAAGTGCAAGCTGTAATCAGCGCACATCTATTGTCGAGTTCGATCCAAACGAGCCGATTGTGCTGGGGCTTGACAAATTCCCCAAGGAACGATAGATTATAAATGGCCCAGTCCTTGCGCGCGCGCATTTCCTTGCTTGTACATCCATTAACTCAATCTTCGGCTTGTTCTAACGCTTCAAATCCTTGTACTCTAAAAGTGAATACAATTAGTAACTTTCCCCTTTTTTCGCTTATGGAAAAAATAACAGTTCTCTCAAAGATGCAGATTTGCCGCTTTTTTTCTATGTGATCTGATGAAATTTTTTTTGTTGCATTATAGAACTTGCGATTTTTACCGTTCTAGCTGAGCCACGGATTTTTAGATTTTTGACTTGATGAGTTTTCTATAATCCAAACTCTGTTTTGGTTTCATGCCCGTTTCTAAGTGGTTTCGTCCTCTCGCAGGATGTTGCAACGAATTATTAACTTTTATAAAAATTAATTGCAACGACTCGCATTTTCTTCCAAATCAGAAGGTAGCGTCTGTAGTCACAGTTATCTCAAACCTTTTTGCTTTGGAAATTTCTAGAAAACTTTCAGAAACTCGTGGTTAATTACTTTGGCGGCATCGGGCTCTGAAGCATGAATGGACTCACATTTAACTGACGAGTTTAGTTAGAATGATATAGCATTTTCATTCCTCATGGATGTTTCGTACCCTCGTTGTTATCACATACATTAGAAATATACATTAAATATAAAAAATATACTAACACAATAATAATATAATAATAATGATAAATAATAAAACAATAATAAACAATATTGATATATGATTCTAAAATTACTATATATGCTTTATTTTCCCAAGCATTCTCGATGGTAACTTACGAAGGTGTCGTCCAAAAACCGACGTTTATCCTTCAAACCGCCTGCTCACCATGACTAAGGTGTTGTTGATCTAGGGGCAGAGAGACTTTTAGAAGAAGAAGGTGCACTTTTGCCTGATTCATTCTTCTTGGTAAGGCCGATTATATTCTTTTCTTTTTCCATGAAGTGGCGATTAAATATCCACATAGTAACCTGATCCTGCAGTGCTAGTTTTTAGTTGAAATAGTGGGCGCGATTATCCCTCAGTTAGCCCTTTCACTCATAAGTCGGCAGTAACCTGGAACTACCTAGCTCTGCAGAGGTGCTGGTAAAGGGCACAAGTAGTCTTAAAAAGAATTCTACTAAATATTGGCTGAATGATTACAATTATAATCATTTGGTAATGCTTCAATTTGGTAAACCAAAAAGAAACATTTCTTGGTTGCAATTTTCTTCTGTGGCAGTTTATTAGGTCCATGAACAGAGATAATGACTTGCGAGCACGCAACAGCCGAAGGAGATGAATCGTGACCGCGACTACGATGTTTCATTTAATGTAGCTGTATTACTATGTCGGTCCAAAAAATTTCTGCTGGGAGGAGAGGGGGGGGGGCACAGGAATTTTTTCATTGAAGCGGCGTGACGGATAAGAATAAAAAGAATTGCTTGTCAACATAAAAGGAGTCATCTGCTCATATAACCCAAGTAGGCTACTTCAGACTTCTCGCTGTTATTTTTGGTGGAGTAGGGGAATACAGTAGCTACCGAACCTGAAGCTGCTAGGGACTTTTGCAGAACTACCCTAATTTCACTGATACAAGACGCATCGTTCTCATTTCTTCTAGCAAGCAGCCCCACTTTGTCTCGCGGAACGTTCGCTTTCCCACACAATTGTTTTGGGTAAGTAGCAGCCTGGCAGAGGGCCCTTTAGTCGCAACGTATTTTGGGTATTCAGGCTGGCCGCGTTTGGAAAAAGACGGAAGTGTCTTGTACTCGTGATGTTAGGGTACCTACACTTAACTTTTCAAATTTTATTTTCATTATTTCTTCGGTTGCTTCTCATAACCAAATGCAATTTTGTAGAGTCGTTCACATAGAAGTCTCAACCTTGGGAATTCTGTTGATTGGGAGCTTCTGATTTGTTATTTTTATGGAACTGGTTGGGTTTTACGTCACCTGCATACACCACAACCCAAAACAACAAGCTAATCAGCGGCAGCGTAGAATTCTTTTTTGGCCAGAGAAGACGCAACAAAGCATTGTGTCCAGTCCTATGGCATTAAGAACAAAATCTTGTTTATCAAAATTTTTGAGAGGTTTTTTCATTTACAGTTATACAAATCCTTGTTCAAACATTTAGGAATATCCAAATATTATTTTGTCTGACTATTAATACAAATAAATTACTTTGTTCAGGGGGGGGGAGAAGATAATACAGTGTGGTTTTTTCCTGTCAAAATATGTGTTTTTTTGAAAAGCAAGGGTATGGACGTTATCTTTACAATATCATATGCAATTTATTTTCACTTAATGATATATTTTCATAATAATATATCCCTAAATCTTAGGTTATGATTCACTTGGGAATTATTCATCTTAAATATCGAACAATTTTTTCGGAACTACTTTGCCTTTCCTTTTTTCCACTTCGACTTTGAACATGTGATTCATATAAGTGTTGATGAGAGTACTAATTGCCTCGCCTAATAGAATTGAAAAGTTTTTTTCATTTTTTTGTCCTTTATATCCTCACACAAGGCTGATATCTAAATAAGAATGTGTCCTTTCTGAATGCCACGAGTTGCGCACGCACTATTTTCCATTAGTAGAAGCTTGGGAAAAGCTAAGCAGCTTTTGCTCATCGTAGACGAGGGGCTGCCATTTAATTTTTGATTTGAAAATACGAGTGGATTGTACGAAACGACAAGGAGTTGTTTTGATTGTCGGTGTAAAAAGTGACGTTTTTGAGTGATTAGAAATTTTTCACAGCATTTTCTCGTTTACTCTTTTTTGATGAAGTGTGGTTACATTAGTGGCCATTATCTTCAGAATGTTCTTTGTGACGTCCAAACAACTCCAAACATTTATTTCAGATCCCGCGACCATCAACAACGAAGCGATTATCCGATAGCAAAAGCGGTCACAAGTCCGGCAAGGGCTCGGAAACCCCGAGAAGCCCTCTGATGACTGTGGCACGAACTGTCAAGAACAAATTCACGAAGCTGACTAGAATGGGTCGACATGAACAGCACGATGTCTCAATGAAAGGCAGCCAAAGTTTTTCCGGGTATGCTTGCTGATTTGAACACTCTGTATCTTTAGATGGTTTCGTTATAATCACTTGTTGATCGCTAGGATCAGGGTTGGCACGAGGTTGCTTTTGGAAAATGCAAAAAACGAAGTCGCCCTTGACTTTCCTAAAATTTTACGATGTCCTCTTTGACTCTTAGCCATTGTCCTAAGAATCTCAAAAAAAAACGATGACAAAAAAACGTCACAAATGTTGCGTCTATTCGGCCACAAAAACAAAATCCCCTTTGCTTTTTGTCCCACAAAGGATATCCAGCTTGCTTACCAAGCCACCTGTATCGAGCCCTGTTAGGATGTTTTTGCGCTTGGCTCATCATAACTCGTTATGAAAGATCATAAAAAAGTCATATTTTCCCTAAAGGGCCGGGCATACTTCATGCGATTTCAGTCGTGACGCGATTTGACAATAGCAATATTCCAACTGTCCATAACTCACTGTAAGCACATTTTAAATGTACAGGTGGGACATTCTATCAATCCGCGTAAGTTATACACACTATGCATGTGCAGTTTGCTTGTGTTGGATCTCAAGTCTTCTGGCGAATTGCCAAATCGCGTCGCGACTGAAATCGCGTTATGCCCGGCCTTTAAAAGAAACGGATTAATGATAAAACAGTGGTTTCTACTTGTTGGCCTTTTACGAATGATTCGTATAATCGGCATCTTGCCTGTAATCTGAGCGCAAAGTAAAACAGGGCTTCCTGGGGCACCTTAATGATAGATAATTACAGTCTTTTTTTCTTACTCTGATTTGAAAATTAGGTAGGAATGCATAGGGCCGGGCCCTGAAGCAGCATAAATATTGCCTGTCTTTTTTGCTAAATTTTGATTTGTCTTGTTCAGCTAACGACTGAAACGACATATATAATAGAACATCTGACACCTAATATGCTTCAAATCTACAAAGTTACAGTCTCTACTCTTTACGGGCTTACGTTGACAAGCATTGGAAATTTTTCTTACATGAGGCGATGCTAAATCAATTGTCAGAATTTCACAGACCATCATTGGTAATGGATGGATTATCATCGTTTCAGTCTTTGCGCAGCATGATCGCATGTACTTTGTAGAATCGGCTATAGGAGACATTATTGTGGTCATTCTATGCGATGACACATATAGATAAAAAAAATTTGTGGTTATAAAATAAATATTCACTTATCCAACAATGTTCAACATCTCATTCTAAAGATTCAACTAACAAAGCACTGGATTTTCGACGCAATCTTCCTCTTTTTAGGTCATCCGCAAGAGAATTTATTTTTCACGTTTCAGAAGATGGGCAGATTAGATTTTAAGAATTCCATATTTTGCAAACTGAATATGGATCAATACCTAGATTTTGTCTTCAGGCTGCGCACCATTTTTCCACCTTGCTGTGATTTTTTTGCGATTTTTGCTTATAAGGGAAACTGTAGACATTGCATCAAACTTCTTAAATGATACACTGGCAAATGAGGTGGAGTACTTTGAGGCCTACGGTTACTTGTAAAATCGAGATTCGATCTAGGGCCCGGCATGAATTCGTTTCTAGGATTCTTGAAAACGAAGCGAAGTTGCCCTTTACTTTCGCGAAAAAGTCCACTTTGACTTTGACGGAAGTCCACTTTGACTCTCAGCCCTAAACGTAAGAAACCTTCAGGAAACAAAGCGTCGACTAAAAAACGTTGCAATTTTTGGCCAGAAAAACGATATCCCCTTCCTTTTTTGTCCCAAAAGTGAAGTCCAGCCTGCTTCTATACGATCTGTGCCAGGCATTGATTCGATCTCCAAAAACCAGTCAAGAAACTGATACCACAATCTCAATAAAATCGTAGTAAGGACACTTTGCAAGGTTTTTTTTTTCTCCATGGGCTCTATTTAAGTATGTATAGCTGTCACCTTTGTTGTCCTCTAAGCTCATAATGCTTTCTCACGCCATGGTTTGAAGTGGGCAGCTCGCTCTATTTTACAATTCCGAGAGCGAACTTTTTTCCAAGAGCACAAATGAAGTCCAGACGGTTCTTACATAAGGCTGCAGCAATTGAATTTGCAATCAAAAGTTCTCTATCCTGCCTTTGCCTTTTATTAAGCTTTTGAACTCCCAACTTTACTTCGAGGCAGTGGTTTTTAGAAATTGGTTACCATCATAGTTTGATTGACTGACTGCTCCAAAAGAACTTGGTGAATTAGCGACTGCGTTTTTTACTGTCACCGATGCTAACTGCAATGCCGAGTTAATGCATTGCTGGTTTTCGTTGATGGGTAGAAAATGGCGGTTGCCAGCTGTAAATTTAGCCAAAACTGCTCTTTCATTTCCATGGTGAGGTCGTTAGGCGAATGCGCGTCCTCCTGATTAATGCGGTCTGGGCGTTCGTTGAGTTTGTCATACAGCATTCTATTCGTCTTAACCATTAGTCTTTTATGTCTAACTGGAAGTGGTTTGAGTGTCTTCTTAATATCTAAAAGGAGACAGATGGACAAAAAATGGAACTTCCGGTCTATTAGTCAGTTTTAACTCTCTGTCTTTTTCCATTTAGTGACTCAGTCAAAGCCGTCTGAGCCTCTTATCACAACCTTGATATAGGACAGCGTAAATTTCCAGCTGTTCGACATCAATTCAAAAAATGTTTTTTTTTATGAGAATGAATCTATATCGAATTTTTTGTGGTTAGCTAAACAGGGACTACACCATCGAACCATATCTTGTGAATAAATCACCGGACTTGAATGTTATGCAACAGAACCAAGAGTGTTTATAAGACAAATAATTGTTTCTACCCAACCATCCTATTCCCACCCGAACAGCTCCAAGAAAAAACCCTTACTCGTTCCACTATGTGCTTGTTTTGAGAACTGGTGACATACGTTCAGCTAAATCTGGAGATACTTGCCATATAATAGCCACCACACCGTTTAATATTAAAAAGCTCTGCCTTGCTCAAGCAGACTATAAAGATAAATGTCGTAGGGATTTTGTGATCTTTTTTTTTGAATATAAGGTATAAGCGTTATCTGCTCACATGGATATAATGTACTAGATAATCTAGCATAAAACATCGTCATTTTTGACATTTTACAAAAACATTATTGAGAGAGCCTGCTACACTATGCTCCGAGTATTATTTTTTTTTCATATATTTTTGCTTCCAAGAATACCTCAACCCTTTCAGTTGTAGGGGTAATTGCTGACAAGAAACGGTTTTTTTACATGACCTTTCAACGCATTAGCCGCTCTGAAGCAAGGTCCATTGGAGGCAATGACCTTTCAAAATGATTCTATAGTCTATGCACTGGTACATACAGTCGAGTCGTTTTGATCATGTGTGTATTGCACGTTACGTCCATCTTTTGCGTCGCTTCCCGGAGGAGGCCGACCGATTGCTATTCTTACATCACTTTGCATCATCACTTCACATAACCTTTGATTTAACTGGCTTGGCTTCGGGAAGGCGGGGCTTTGCGACCTAATTAAGGCCGCTTGCGCCCGCGGCGCACCTTTGTCTCCCTTGCGCGAGTGCTCTCTGGTATCTATATCTACCTAGCCTCAATTAGGTCACGAAGCCCCCCCCCCCCCTTCCCGAAGCCAAGCCAGTTGAATCAAATGGTAATTGGTATCTAAATAGGAAGAAAATATAAGAAAACACCAAAAAGCTCATCCGAAGGAGTGTCTGCGCATGGAATCCGAGATGTGGGTGCCAGAGGTGGACAGTGTGGGCAATGACACACATAATCATAAAATGAGTCCTACAGTAGATTGTTTTCAAACATCTGAGACCATACGATGCGTTGATTTGCACATTTCTAACATTGAGAATCTTAGAAAGACCACAGTTTATTTAGATTCTCAACGACTTGTGATCTAAGACCTTCTTCTCCTTTTCCCGCTCTGAATAAATTAAAAAATGCGCTTAGGAAGGATAAAAGTATGCCTTCTACATAGCTCCAGCATTTACTGAATTTCTCATATGTTTTTCGGAATGTTGTCGGCGATCTCTATACATCTTGTATTCCAGCATACGTCAGCCAAAAGCATCAATTCCCAAGAGAGTCGACCAAAATGCAAATCGTGTCATAAAGTCGTCGTCGATGGAAGTGCCGTCAACCAGCCAAGATACGACAGCATCCACATCAAGACACATGGTAAATGACACATTTTTCTTGGCAAAATAAATCAGCACTTCATTTCCTTCAGGTTGTCATACCACAGAATCCTACCAGGCTAGAGGACTTTTCTGAAGAAGCCTCATTAGCTGAGCAAGTGGAGCTCAAAGAGAATGAAGATCCCGTAAAGAGAGAGGAGATTACGGTAGCTCGGGTTTCTGAGGTACGACGTACCGTACAACCTCAGCAAGCGGTCTCGATGACGTTGAGTGCTGATGTACTGGTCGTGACGAAGGAGTTCGATGCTTCTGACAGCACAGTGACGCAAAGGTTAGTAGTTTTCCGTCTTGTACGAATAAGAAAAATTAACAAAAATAATAGCCAAATAATAAAAAACTCTTTTCTCAGGTCCGAAACGAAACATGTCGAATTGGAGGAAAAGGCAATGAATGAAACAGACCCGGCTTACGATTCCCAACAAACTACAGCTGCAACCGATTCCGAACGACAACCCCTGGATAGCTCTCAATCCCCGCTATTGGAGCAATCACCCGAAGAACTTCCCCAGAGCCGTCTGGTCCTTAAAACTCCACAACTCCCACGGAAGCAGCACACCTTTGAGTTGGGACAGAAGATCCCGGACACTTCTAGCGAGCTCAAAGCAGCTGAAAAGGTTGTGCCAAAAACAGTGGTTGAGGAACAGGCTCCCCAGGTTCCCATGGAGGAAGGCAGTCCCCCAGCCAGATATGTAATGACTGTGAAAACTCCCGAAGCCATGCGAAAGCACTTGGCCTTTGTGGTCGATGAGAGCGAATCTCAGGCTACTGCTACTCCCGTTCCCAGCTCCCCTAAGAAAAGAAAAAAGATTATCAAGCAACGTTCCATGCCAGAAACAGTAAGGGCTAGTGTCTCACCGGAAAGGTACATTATGACCGTGAAGACGCCAGAACCGCTCAGACGTCACCATACTTTTACCATCAAGGAGCGTTCGAAAAGCCCAGATGTGCCCTACATCGAAGAGGGTGAAATCACCGAACCCATTGCTACCGTAGGTCCCTCGGCAGAAAAGCGCAGACGAACACGATCTGAAGATGCGAAGAGAACGAAGAAGACGGAGGAGATGAGCAAAATAGAAAAGTTCACCATGAGCGTGAGGACTCCCTTCATGATGAGGAAATTTAAGACGTTCATGGTTGAGGAGAAGCCAAAAGCTGAGGAGATCCCGACGTCAAAGAGCGATGAGCCGTTGTTACATGCAAAAGTGAGCTTTGCTGATGATGTTCAGGAGCATACCGCTGCCAAAGCGGAGGTTGCACCTGCGCCAGAGCCTATGCCAACACCTCATCTAAGAAGGAAGCATAAAGTGAGCAGGGAGGAACCGAACGAGGTCAAGGATGAACTGGAGACTCATAACGAGATGTTTGTTCTGTCCACGTCCACCCCGCTTACTATGAGAAAGTTCCAGACCTTTATGATTGAGGATAAGAAGCAAGTGGTCGAACAGCCAGTGAAGTCGCTTACAGAGGGCAATCTGGAGGCTATAGCAAGCCTAGAACGAGAGCCTGAACTTAGTGAGAAGACCCCATTGAAGACGTCGGACATGTATTCGTTGACTACGATGACTCCCCTACCGCTTAGGAAAAAATTACCCGATGAGTCCCACCTAGAAAGAATTGCGCGGGACAAGTCGAGGAGTACGTCGAAGTCGCCAGAGAAGATGAGCCTGTTTATCATGGGTAGAAGTTATAACTATGTAGCCGAGAAGGAGCACAAGGAGCCGGAGAAGGAAAAGGAGAAGGAGGTGGTGAAATGTGCTGTGGTCACCCCGCAACGGGTGGATGTGGAGTATGAGACTCCAAGGAGAGAATGCAGCCAGTCGGACAATGCTGAACCTATAGAGCGGAAGAATAGCTGTTCATCGGTGAGTTGGGGACCTGTTTTCGCAGATTTTATCTAGTAAAAGTGTTTGAGGGTGTGACAACTCCTGAAGAGGAAATTCCGATGGACACCCATCTGACCCCTACTGAAGAGGTCAAAGACGAAGTGCTTATCACCAGGCCGATAAGACGGCCTCCAGAGGTCACGTCACCGATTGCCGAAGAGCCTGAAGTGTCGGGATCGTTTGAGCCCCATCAGTCCCAGGTTACGGTGGAAAAGACCTTCAAGGAAACGTTCCGATCCAGCAAAAAAGAAATGAGTGAGTCAATAAATTATCGATTTCTTGTAGTTGTTAGAAATTGAGGAAAAAAGCTAGTTTTTTTCCGAAAAAGCGGTTAATCATAACTGTCGATAAATCCTCTATCAAAATAGTCTTCTTATTTAATTGATTCCTTTCAGAACAGCCAGTATTTCGGCCGCCTAGTCCTCCCAAGGAAATGTATAAACCCATCACCTTGTCAAAATCTACATCGCCTCTAAAAACAAAGGAAAGCATAGAGGTAGGGGCTGTATTTTTGATGACTAAGAATATTTACATTACATAGTCATTGCTCTGTCTAAGAGCCACATACAGTTTTGCCACTTACATGTATGCTTCTGTAAATTTTCAGAACCTTTTAGTTATTTGTCTATTTATTTTTTGAAGATTATTATACATCGTACTTAGTGATTTTTATCTTACAAAACCAATTATATATTATACTTTTATCGTATCTAGTTTTTTTGAAAATTACGTCATTTGTATGGTATCTAACCTATGAAAGCTTGAATGCTTTATTTTTTTCTTTCTTTATTCGTGAGTTACATCGTCTAAACGTCTTCCGCTCTAGGAAAGCAATTATATACAGCACATTATTAGCATTAATGTGGTAAAGGGAGGGAGAGAGAAAAAGGAAAAAAGTTTACTTTTGCTCTCATTTCATTTTCATCACCAGTAGAAAAGACTCTTGTAAAGACTCCGAAAATAAATTTTGAAGAAATACTAGATATTTTTGTAATTTTAGGAAAGTAGTTCTTGCTCTGAACCACAATTTTCTTTATTCAAAAAATATTTGGACTTCAGCATTTTTCCGTGTTTGGACATTTAGTTGTTTATTCATTTTTCAAAAAATTTTATTATCTGAGCGACTTTTATCATACTAAAGCAGTACAAATTTTCAACATTAATATAGCAGGAAGAGGGGAAAAAGGCAAATTGTATATCTCTGCTCTTATTTCATTGATCATTGACACCATAAGTAATAATTCTTGTTTCGGAAAATAAAATTCTTTTAAAAACTGCTGAAGTATTTTTTTTCGTCTTGGGCCATGATTTTTGTTTTGAACCACAAGTTAAACAGCTGCTACTTGCATGCATGTTTTTGTGAGTCTGTCAATACTTTTGGTTTCCTGAATGTTTCATTTGTAAAACTTGATTTTTTTGAAATTGTCTAAATTAGTAAATTTTCAAGGATTAACTACAATCTTTGTTCCAAATCTCGTTCATCTCCCCACAAAGATCGCTTTTAGAAGACAGAGATGAGCACTTCACATAGCGAAGGCCGAACGAAGCCACTTCTAAGCATTCGCTCGAAGTCTGAAGACCGTCGAGAAAAGAAAGTAAGTGTCAGCAAGGTGACTAACAGCCTTCCCAGCCGCTCATAAACGCACCCCTTTCCAGGCCGAAGAAAAAGAACGTGAACGAGCGGCGAAGAAAGGAAAACGCGACGATCGCGACAAGGAGCGTTTGCCAAAAAGCCCGAAAATGCCCATAACGGCCAGGTTGGTTTTTTTAGTCGTTGCATCCACTGAATGTCCCCCCCCCCCGATGTTGCACGCCCGTACTAGTAGTTGTGGAATGAATGATACATGTCGCATGCTGTTTACCCTGCTGTTATAGCATTTACAGTATCCTCAGGTCGTTGCGATCAGCTGGCAAGATGTTGGCACCGTCATTTTTCCGGAAAGGAGAGTCGAAGATTCCTAAGAGTTCGAAGGTAAATTACCTACGGAGATATTGAATTCAATATTGGGCTTCAAAAAAAATTCATATTGTGTGTTCAAATGTCACTAAATGAAACATAAATTTTCCTAGAAGCCAATTTAAGTCGTAACCAAACCGGAATGGGGCAATATTTCTCGCGAAAAATTTGATATGCGCTAGCACTTTCATTTTCTTGAGATATCCAATGACTAACGCTAGAGGAAAATTTCCATTCGTGAGAAATTATTGGCTGTTGTTTCGCTAGCGATGTCCGCTTCTCGTTTGTACTTTTTGTTTTTGCTCCCTCATCCTCCAGACCTCGTTTGAACTATTCAAGTTGTTGTTTATCCTTTCCCTGAGGCTACTTTTTGCTCGAAAAGTAGTAGCGCAAACTCATCGATTTCTCCTTATCGTAGTAAAAAGCTAATCTCAGGCAACGACGAAGTATATAACGAGACCCAAATGAGAAAAAGAGACCCTGAGTTGGCATATATAAAAATCCGCTGTCTGCTTTACCTTAAGGAACTGATTTCTTGCATTTTTCTCGATTATTCTCTTTATTTACAGCTTAGCTATCCATATCAAGTTCCATTTTTCTCTCAGGTCATTTCTTTATTGCAAAATTCCTGTCATTCTTGCTGTTTTCCTTCCGTGAGAAATTTCCGAAAAGCGTTTGAGAAATGGTTTTTGAAAGGCTAGCTATATATTTCTTCTCTCAGAGCATGTTTTGGTTACTGATTCTGAATGCACAATTGCAATTTAAACAATAGTCTTCAATATCTTGCTCTTGTTACCCGAAAATGCGCGGATATTTTTCAAGTATGAAAAACAGCATAACTATGGTGAAGAAATCCTCACTATCTGGGTAATTCTTGTTCTTTTTTTGTGCTGGTAATTTTTTCCACATCATTAGTTTTCTGCAATTTTTTTTGCCAAGCACGTCCAGAAATCGAAGTAACCTTGCTGACCATTCTATTCATATCCAACAAAGGAGCGCTTTGTTCGATCACTTCTGAGATGGTCACATCTCTCAAGATCCGTTTAGTTTCACGTGAATGCGCGCTTGCAATCCCATTTTGGTTGTCTGAGAATGTCGAAAAAAAAGTTTCGTTAAGCAGAGGACAGCCTTGGGGCAAATCCAATAAGCGGTTTTTCGATCCCAACTGAGGATTTAAGCATAGATTTCCAGACTGCGACATCCCCACAGACAGTGACGGCTACAAAAACGCGAATGTCGCTGCCATTTAGGAATGGGTGAGTTCAAAAATTATTTTTCTAAGCACGCCAAAAACCTCCATTTATTATTTTCTGCCCCTTTTTAGTCGACGTGCTCCTCTGGCGGAGTTCGAATCGCTAGTAGTAGAAGACTCGCCAGCAGTTGAGAATCATCCGTTGACATTCGAGAAGTGGAGCAACAGCCCCAGAGGGAAACGACGGTGGGACTTCTTGAAATTGCCCCCCCCCCCTTCTTTGCTGTTGTGCTGTCAATCATTGTCGCTTTGATTCAGGCACTCGGCGCATGTAAATGGATTTTCGGAGCCAATTGTCGAAGAGGGCGATGGGAATGGAAATGTGAGCACATTTGCCGCATCCAGTAAGTCCTTTTCCTTCTCCCGTTAGCTCTCGTTCATTATTCATTCATTCGTTCACTTTCACTCTCCCACTTCGTACCGCCTCAACCCACTCGAGTCTTTTTTAACCACAGAAATATAACGAAAACTCCTGTGCATGTTCTCTGCGTCCTCATAAAATCTCAGACAGCAATCAATATTTTTTTTATTTTCCTATGACACCTAGGTTTATGACTCAGCGGCAATAAAATGCGAACCAAGAAATGAATGCACATGAGAAAAAATATGTTTTGTGCACTTTTGCGTTGAGTTTCTTCTGAGAAATCGATATGTGCTGGCAGGAGAACAGACCTAACGACAATGTTTATTCAAGATAATCAATATATCGATCATGAGATCTGAGGTGGTAATTCGAAGGCCTCATCTTTCCTGTTTTTACTGAGCTCCTGGATGATGTCTAAAAAATAAAACAAATTTTTTATGCAATTTACGTTAGTTGCCAATTGACCTCCTTCTAATTTAAAGAATGATTCTGGAATCTCAAATAGTGCAAGTGGCTAATGTTCGTAATGAGAGAATTTATGATTCAATAGTTTGACGACATGATCATGGTTTTTTGACCTCGCAGTAGTGAATATAAAAATTCAAACGTCATCGGTTCTTACGGTAAGCATATCTAACCCCAAAAAACCCAGGATCGGCAAATATTCTTACCTTAAAAAACGGGTGATGAATTTAGTTTCTGTAAAAATTTTGTTAATTTTCTTTCTCTCTTTCCCACTCCTGCATCGAAGGTTTGTTTTTAGAGAATCGATCACTATGCAAATAAGTTACTTTGCTACTGTTGTCTTTAAACTATGTAAACTAAATGCTATATTATCTAAATGTATTTATTAAAATAGATGCAAATGGAATAAAGTGTGGCTGATATCTTGGTCGACGCTTAGCAAGCTCAAACGATTATCAGATGCAAATGGCTTAAGAGGCTCCTTTTACTCTTTCACCTTCTATGGTAACGGGACATTAACAAAAATATCAAATTCAAGGAAGGCAATGCTTTTTTTACAATGCTGTTTCCTATCCATAGAGAATGCTGCGCTGATGTTATTTCGTTGATTTGGAACTTCTCGAACATTCTGCAAATTACAAAACCTGACACTTTCTATGACTGTTAAGAGGTAATTGCAATTGCCATTCGTCTGACGAAACGAAATGATGATGAATTTGATTGATGGAATTTCTAACTTGTTGTGGCAGTTTCTCCGAGATCGTCGCAGTGGCTTGGAAAAAAACGTCACTGCATTAATCACTGTTGGATGGTGGGGGTGTGGGAGATTTCACTTGCAAATAATATATTGTTGAACGACGATAAATGTATGTAAACATTGCCTGAGAGAAATTCGGAAATCAATCATTTTGAATAAAATATAGAAATGTAAACTTAGACAAAATGTCTTTTTGCCACTGGTCATATTACAACTTTTGCCGCGTATGCGAAGCTGCTGGAGCCGCAAACCATTCACTAAAAATTTTATATGTCTATCCATCTTTTTTGTCTTTCAGTGATCTTCTACATTCAAAAAATGGTTTTTTATATCTCGATTATTTAGTAAATCTGTAGGTGCCTTGTTATTGCCTATTCGTGATAAAGGGTGAGATCAATCGCAGAGATTTTCGATATTTGCTTGGGCTGTATCATAGATCAGTCCCATTGGTGCCATGGTTATCCGCTTGTATTTGAGCGGAGTCTGCTTTGTTTGTTCGCATTACAGAGATATGCACAGGCTCAACAATCGATCTGATTCAGAATAAACATATGAATAGCTATCCCAATAAAATGACGAATTTACCCTTTGAATACAAGGATCTTAGCATAATAGTACGTCAGACTTTCAAGATCCTAGAGCTTTAGGAGTCTGTTGATAAGAGTCTCTCATCGTGTAGATTCTAAATCTATTTAGCAAATGAGTTCGTCTCATAATACTGACGGCTACATATCATCTACTTTATCTAAGAGACGCGTGACCGCATTGCGGACATTGGCCCGTAGTAAACCCCCATCAGGGCATCTCTCTTAAGGCGGACCGGAGCTGATCTCATCGCGCCTCAGCACATTGCCAGGGGAGCGATTGATTTGGAGCAGGTCACTTACTGGACATTCGCGTTTTCAAAGATGGAACGTTTCTGCCATTTGTGCATAATTAGTCAAATGGATAAGAGTAATGCGCACGCGGCGGGGCCGTGGTTCGAGTGCGGCTAGCGGTACCATTTTTGCTGCTTGGCCCGGCGACCTTTGATAGCGGCCGCTATCGAAAAATCGATGATAGCCGCTATCAGAGATTTCACCTAGCAAACAAGAAGATAAAACAAGTACACACTATTTTGGCATACGTACGAGGAAAAAATACACTTAGCAATAAACAGAAACGTAAATTCACATTCATGTTATCTCAAGCGGTTCTTTGAGAAAAAGAAGCAACAATTGCAAGAAAATGCAAAAAAAAACTTTTTTCCGATTTCGTCGCAATCAGCTGTTCATCGACCCTCACTCACTTAGGCGCCCGAAATTGTGCAATTTTGAGAGTTTTGCACCGCAAAAGAACGTCATCTGCGATGTTTCGTAAGTTACTCGGGAGCAACTTACGGGGATTTTCTCTGTGCTCTCCTCTTTAGCACAGTATTTACCTTATGTGGTCGCCCGGCTCATCTCCGATGACTCCGGTCGGGAGCTGATCTCCCTGCTGGGCTTCATCTGAAGCTCACCCGTAGGGTGACCTTGCATATTTACACCACGGTAAGTGGGCAGTCCTCATCTCACCCGACAAATCCTCATATGAGGGCCTCAGGGGAGATCATCTCCCGTGACCGAGCTTTACTACGGGCCATTGTCTTTACATGTTTGAGTTTGTTCCTGCCGAAGGGTGAATGAACCTGGACGAGATAAATGACAAGTATAAACCTGCTAAGTACACGACTAGGCTTGTTTAGACAATTTGTGCAATGCGGTTCCGCGTCTCCTAGTCATAGAATGAATGCTAGATAATACGGCTGTTGAAAGCTCAAAATAACGTTGAAACGCAATCTTCTAGCCCAGTTATCACATCCCAAGTTACATTAGTGGATTGACGATAAATGCTGCTCAATAGTGAGGCGTGAAATTAATTCAAAATTAAACTTCTTCACCATTAGTTTTCGAATCCATAATACAGTCACCATTAGAGAGATAATAGTTTGCAAAGCAAACACTTAGTCAGCATGCATGGACATTAACATTTTCTACGTCAGTGCCTATTTAAATTTGTAATATAATTCTACAATGTGTCTGGTTGCCTCGCAAGTCATCAAAATGTAAATATGTGACACCATGATTCAAAACAAGTGATGATAAGATACAAAAACTAGCGAAAGTAGCTTAAGTGGGACTATTATGGAGCTTATAGGTATGCTTTTTGAGCAGTGTTCTTTCTGTTTTGTAAATGTGTTTTTACCTTGTCATTTATTGCGTCTTTTGAGCCATTAAATATTATAGTGCAACAAAAAGCACTCGTGCACAATAAATTAGTTAAATTAATGAAGCTATAATTAGTGAAGTGTGCTTTGGATCGCGAAGATAATTCAGAAAAAAATAGACTTCATTAAAATGATTCCTAATGAACTTGAAAATAAGAATCAATGTTTGGAAACCTTTGTAATCACTATGCAAACATTCGTTTTCAACAAAAATGTAAGAGTTTTCTTGTAGTCTCAGTTAGTTTAAAGATGAGATTTTTGACTGTCTAGCGAAATGCTTCTGATACTCTTTGAAAGATATAGCTGGCAGTTTTGTAAGCTGCACAAACAGTGCTCATTCTTTCTGCAAAGCAAAATCATTTTCTGCTACCAAAGTCGATTTTTATGCTAAATAAAATGAATTTTACAGAAGTGGAGTGTACCATGTCTCCAGCTCTCCCTCGCCACGAAACCGATCGTGGACTCATTGATGATGAGATTTTGTGAGTCCTTTTCTTTTGCAAATCGTCTGTCCTCGCCTATCAGCATCTGTAAACGAGATTCTATTGTGTAATGTCCTAAGTGTCATTTCATTCCATCGATCATAGCAGCGAAATAAATAACAAAGCCAGACTTTTCCACATTCATGGTCTGGTCGTTTCTCAACTTTTTTGAGGGGAGAGATGATTGATGGGATGTGATCGTTCACACTAGGCTCATGTGTTTTATGAAAACATAAATCATATTACTTTATGAATAGTGTAGTCCAAAAATTGTGGGTATTTAATTTTGTGAGAATCTCCAAAGTGTAGGGCGCGGGGAACTATGATCAAGCGGAAATTAATCCTTCTGAGCTCGCGATTATAAGTTTTATTCCGGTAATTCACTTGCTGGACAGCGTATCTAGTTTTTCAGTCAATTTATTGTTTATTAGTCTCGGAAACCAGAAAATTAACCGACAAGCTTCAGAGACCAGCCGATGCTAGTCGGTGACACTTTTTCACATTCGGAATCCATGGATTGCTTGTCAGCGGTGAGAAGAATGGAATTCGAGGCCGAGAAGGCCACACTCATCTCGATCGATCGTTCGCTCATCGAGGATAACGATGCGGTGTAAGTCACTTGTGAATGGACCGAAAAAAACAGTTCTTTGGAAAAAATTAGAGGTTGAATGGCAAAGGCGGGCTCAAGTACCTCTCTAAAGTTCTATTGAATTTCAAGCGAACTGAAAGTTTCTAGTGAACATTTTATAGATGAACTAAGTACACAGCATATATTTTGGAAGAAAAATCCTACAGTTCTAAAACCCTCAAAAGTGAAAGGCCTGGAAATAATGTCGAGATCTCGATTTTTCCTTTTTTCAATTCTTTTTCTAAATCCGATAGCGCTTAAGAAGTTTGAAAGAAAAAATAGGTGAGTTTGTAATGAAGAAAAAGAAGCAGGCTGAATTTCTATGAATTCAGAATTCATTTTTTTTTCTTGCAGAAAAATAGGCGAAGTAAACCAATGCACGATTTGGCCTAGCTTTACTTCATTTTTTTGCATCTCTCTCAAAACCACAACCACTCAATTTTTTATTGCATGTTTCTTTTATTTTTCGAGGCATGTAATTTTCATTCTGGATCAAACATAGTGAGTTGAAGCTATGCTTCATTATTATCCTTGTAAGGCACACATTTGAACTTTGGAATTAGAACGACTTTTTCTCAAAGCGATTGTCTTACATCATTGCTAACAAGGGAACCTTGTTGAGTCGAAGAGCTTTTCTAGATGAAAATACCATATTGGAAAGCATAAAATGCTCCGAAACTGCCTTGCTTATCTGCTGAACGTTCATGGACGAGAAGTTATGAAAGTTTATTGAAGTAAAAAAGAAAAAGTGCATCTAAGATAAAATGAGTTCCTATAACTTTCCTAGCAATAAAGCAACCAAGTGTAATATACTTTTTCATCTGAAAGTCTCTATTGAATAAAGTGCCCTGATAATCATCACTGCTCCATTGAAGCTCCAGAAAAAATATCACGACAGTTTTTCCCCTATTTACACTTGTAATTTTTTCTTAAATAGAAGCTCCTACCTCCTCTTCCTTAAGTTTTCCGCAGATAAGGAAAAGGGATGTGGAATCAGTTTTTATGGTCTCATTATGTATACATCACATCTAAAAAGGCCACTTCGACAAGACATGGTTCCCTTGAGCAAAAGAATCTAAATATTGCATCGTCCTTGATAAAACGCTGTTGGTTTCGATAACTGTACGGTTACCTACATTCGTTGCTAATGAACTCTGAAAGGTTTGCCCATTTTATGCCATGTAATGCGATGCTTTCTGAAATATTAATTTCTAAATAACTGGTTAGAAGGAAAAAGCATGCATAGAACAACTGTTGGGAAAGCTCAGTGATTCACCAAGCTTTGAGGTTGGGTTTATATGATAGGTGTGAAAAAATGAGTGTAAAGTGAGCTAAAGCTAAATTGCGGCAGAAGAAGATTTGATTCTGAGAATAAGATTTTTTACCCAAAATTCTACAAATTTCTCTTCAGTAGAAAATTTGTGGCTAGCCATGAATGATAAAGCTTGTGGCAAGATTTCCTCAATTCTTCTAAGTTTCCGTAGCCACACTTTGAATAAATCGGAAATAATAAGAGACAAATAAAATAGTTGGTTTATAAATGAATGATAAATGATGCCTAGCAAGCAAAACTCACTCTTTTTATTTTTTATTGATATAAACAAAAGACTTTGTCGCGTCTCTTCCCGGATCTCGCAAGGCGGGCACCCTTTTTGCGTAGAAAAAGGAAGTCCGTTCCAATTTATAATGATTAGCATTAGACATGTCTTTTTCTATGTGTTTTGTTTATCAGATGCATTTTGTTTGATTAGGGTTATTGATAACGCAACACTTTGCCGGGTATATTTTTGTGTTTCCTGTTTTGGGATCACGTCCATTGTTCTAGAAATCATAACTTGTAACTGGTAACTGTCCGCGATAATTCGAGTACCGAGGCGCAGTTGTCTGTCTGTCGGGGGTGTTGTCGAACCGGAACGAGTAGATGATGCAGCCAGTCACCTGCGCACTGGGGCGGGAGGTGCGAGAGAGCGGGCGAGTGAGCGCGAGCGACCGGCCGATCGGTCCGTCCGTTCAGACCGCAGACTCTCGGCATAGCCAACCTGACGATGGTCGACTGCTTGCTGTCCGCGTTCATCCGCACTCTCAGGTCACCACCATTTCTTTTCACTTCTGAATGGGCGTCAACGCTTCTGCCCCCCGTTGGGCTGCTGCTATTGTGGCGAAACGAGCAAACATCGATTCCGATCTGCTATCTATCTATCTATCTGTCCGTCCGTCTGTCCCCGTATTGTAGCGCGTCCCCCCCCCCGTGTTCATGTGCAGTGTGCTGATTCACATCAGACATCTCACTTATGGTGTGCGGCGATTTCGTCAAATGTCTGCGTCGTCTCAGGTTCTCACGTACCTTTCACGCATTTCGCAGCGCCGCGGACGCCTAGTTCACGACTTCCCCACCCTGATTCACCATGCAGTGACTGTTTGAAGTGTTCAGCTTTTTACAGGAGTGCAAGTCAACCGTTTCTGCGCATTAATGCGTCCTTATCCTGCGCCTATCCTAAGGTTAAATGATTTTGTAGTTAATATAGTGCCGTTGCGGTGGTTACAACAATTACGCGGAAAGAAATTGCCGTAGATTACTGACAGTACTTGCGCATCGAAAAATTCTTGTATATGCACTTTCTTCTAAGCATAGCCTTCTTACGCATTTATGTGTCGGCAACGCAAGCACCAATCAACCAATAATCAAGTAGGATTCTTTGCTAATGTGTGCATTTGCACAAAATTTAGAGACAAAGTCGGCTGTGAAAACAAATGCAATTTTTCTCGAACTTCCGTCTACATTTTTTCCTTCCTCACAACTGCTATCGAGGGCGGTTGAGTGATTATATAGAGAGAATTACGTCATTATCATATACTCCATTTCCTTCTTGTGGTAAAAATAAATGTCAATTTTTCCTCTTTCAAAGGTCCATTTTTTTTTCGGAGTTTTGCGCCTTATCGCTGACATCTAATGTGTAATTGCAAACATCTTAGCAAAGAATTTATTGACTGTGTTTGGTGTGCCCCTCTACTACAATTGTAGAATAAGTGAATATTATTTTCACCTTCTGACAAAACATGGTTTATACTGATCTAAAGCGAAGTGCGAAACCACTTTATGTATTTTTTATGGGTAAATACAACAGGGCAATGCATGAATTTAGTCCCGTGGTTTCACAATATTCTATTTGATCAGTGAGCGTAAAGCAGATTTTTTAATTTCTTTAAGGTGGTAGTTTTTGTGCCAAAAAACCTATGGCTGAGATTTTGTTGAGAAAATGTAGAGTGTTTGTTACTTTACAATTCTCCCCCACCCTTGCTCAGCTTGCAATTTACACAGTACCGGGAGCACGTGTAAAACTAGACTTGCTTCTGCTAGGAGTGCCAACAACAAAGTGCAATCTCGGCTAGGATACGCAATGCTATTCAGCTGCGGTCCAGCTTGTTTCGGCGTTTTTTCGGGGCTATTATGATGCTTTCGTAGAGGAGTTCGAGCCACATGTGCTACCCATAAATTTGTAATAACAAATGTGCTAAAAATATGTTATACAGCGATAAAAATCAAAATTTATAGCGTCAAGGTGGTCCATAAAATGTTTTAACTTCTTAAGCCATCGCTTATGATTTATTTTTAGGCCACGACGAACCTATGACAATGGCGGGATGCAATCAACAACGACGTGAGTTATAGCACTTCAAAAATAGCAGTAAAAACACCTGATATCATGTAACACTTGTTTTCAACTAACCTCTTTCTATCTCTGCCCCACCCTCCCCTTTACGGTCCCTACCGCTGACACATCTTCGATTTATTCAAAACGGCCGTATGCTTTCGCCAAAGCTGAATCAGCATGAAAACGACGGAAGAATTTTCTTTGACGTTCTTGATGTCGTAGGGTCGTCGTCGTTAGCAAGGGGTATACATTTTCTGCAAGAGAGGCCTATGAAAAGTAATGTGACACCTTGTCTATGATGTTATGGCCTCGTTTGTCTGCGGCAGCTTTCTGTTTGTTCGGGCTTTCTGCCGTTATGGATCGGTTGCACTTTCACTTTATTCGTTTTTGTGTGGGATAGAGCAAAGAATCTTCAACGAGTCTTTCACACTAATATTGGGTAAGCGACATGATAGATTCAACAAAAATCTCAAATTTTCTAAGGGTCCGGGCATACTTCACGCGATCTCGGTCGCAACGCGATTTGGCAATTCGCCAGAAGTCTTCATATCCAACACCAGCAAACTGCACATGCATAGTTTGTATAACTTACCGGATTGATAAAATGCCCTACATTCTGTAAATTTGAATGTGCTCACAGTGAGTTATGGACAGTCGCAATATTGCCAAATCGCCGCGACTGAAATCTCGTGAAGTATGCCCGGTCCTTAATGAAACGGTTACGAAGTTCTTCTGAAGTATACAAAAAGTTTCAGAGTAAATTTTCGGAGAAATGAACACGATTTAGATGCGTTCCATACTGATTGATTTTGCAACCCACGTACTCAAGCTGTCAGTTATCGCTCTGTTTCCATTCTTGCTTCAATCGCTATTTGTTCATAATGATCTCCTTTCTCAAAAAAGCTCCTTTTCGCAAAGTTGACAAAGCTCATCGATGCTCCGTACAATGCTACAAAGCTTTTTTTTTGGTTGTGGATGACTTTAACTCTTAGTATCACTAATTGTGGTTTTGAAAATTTCATTTTTAGACTCATTTTTCTCGCACTGATGCGAATCACAACGATTATTTTATACGGTTTTGTACAGAGCATACGCTTCCCAAACTCACATCCATATTTCATCAATATCCAACCGTATTTGATCTACACACCAAAAAAGGAAGTCTGCCATAATTTTTGATACCTGTCAATGATCCCCTTTGTGCGATTCCGAAGATTTTCTGGCACAAGGTCCAAAATTAGGATATCAATCATCTCGTCATGTACATATCAGTCTTTTTTCTTTATCAACCAGATGAAGCATGAGGTAGAAGAGTTTACATCAGCCAACCAATCATTTCTGCGCATTGGTGCATGATTTTACCATAGAAAGGAATATGATGAAGGAACAGCGTTGTTTAGTTTCTGCTACTCCTTTCTTATCATGCCGAGAAACAGAAAACACTAAAAAGCCTTTGATGCTAGATAACGAAAGCTCGAAGCACTTTTACGTTTCCATCAAGCAATAAAAAGAAATCCTGATAAAGTTGGGAGTTGCATGATCGAGGTCTTCAACTTGATTTTTATACCCATACGAAAAAACACGAAGTCTATAAGATTGTTGATTTTACATCCATTCTCTCATTTTCACTAGACAATTATTTTCGACCCATCAGTTCAAATTCTTTGCGTTTAGGGCTTTGTAAAGAACAAAGCCCTAATTTAGTCGCTCAATTGTTTTCGTGACATGGAAAAGAATTAGTTCTTGAGCTAGTTTGTATGGAGGGACACAAAATGCAAACTGTGGACGCCGTTCGACCTTTTCTTCTTGATTACACATTACCAAATTTTGCTCTAGTAGTTGGGATTAGTACCAACACCAATCTCAAATTTATTAGGTTCTTCCGAAAAGTTCTGTCGTTTTATTTTTGAAAACTTGTAGCTTTTTGTCATCTTGACGGATTTGCCTTTTTTTTTCAAATTTTATTAGAAAGAAGAAGTCTTCCTCTTTGTAGGCGTGTCTCGATGAGCTTCTACGTACATTGCAGAGATAAAATGGAAAAAGAAAACCAGTTAAGCTTTGACCATTTTAAGATAGGTCGCCAGAAATCTGGAATGCTACAGAAAAATCGAAAATTGCCAGTACGTAACTTTTATGACCTATCTCTGCATGGGAGGGAATTGTGCTGTTTGACGTCTCTGTGAAGAGTTGTAATTTTCGAGTTTACAATAGAAAACGCCAAAATTGATTAATTCCTCACTTTTATCGAAAATCAAAACTTTTCACTGAAACGTCCAAACAGCGCAATTTTTTCTCATATTCAAAGAGTAATTCATAAGATTTATATACTGACAATTTCAGATTTTTCTGCATTCCTGGCTTTTGGCGACCTAACTCAAAAAGGTCGAAGCTCTAGTGGTCTTTTTTTTCCATTTTTCTTCATGCAGTAAATGTATAGTTGATTCGCCGAAGTACCAGTACAAAGACGAAGACTTCTTCCTTCTAATGAAGTTAAAAAGATACAATTCAGTTGAAATAGCCAAAACTTACAAATTTTCCAAAGTGAGAAGACAGAGCTTTCGGGACAACCTAATATCATTCGTATGAGTTTCTGTTCACATGCTGTGGCAGCAAGAGCCATTCAATGCTTGATTTACTATAAAACTTCAACGTTTACAGGCGAGCCGCTGCCGTCTTTACTGCTCCGCCAAGTGCTTACAGAAAGACCTTGGAAGATGGTCTCAATGAAGTCGAAGACATCCGAAGTCAACTGGAAAAGCTACAGTATCTGGTCTCACAGGTAAGGGTCAACTCACTGTATTGAAATCCGCTGTACAAACAGCTTCTGACATCAGCTAAGAGTGTCGCTTTCCATTATCACTCTACTCATCAATATGACAAGAAAACCTCATCTTTTTCAAAAAAACCTCATCGGCGCTTCTGTCCTCACTTCTTCTATCTCCTCCCGTGATGGCGAACAAAAGTGCTTTGTTCTTTGATTGAAAGCTTTCTTCTCAGTAACGAAATCAGTGCATTCTTACGTTCGTGATGTTCTTTTTGCCACCACTCTTATCAGCAGAATTCTTTGTTTGAAAGAAAACCATGCTATGTACTTGTTCGACATCGTTTTGCATATGAGCAGTATTCAGCAAATTGGTAGGGCACCTTTTCAACCTGAATTTTTCCGAGTTACGACTAGGGTGTTTGGTTTCAATTCTTTTGTTTATGCCATGGTAGCATAACTTAAAACTCAATAATTTTCATATTAAGGGAGAAATTTTCGGTTCAAATGGGTGTTTGATTATATTTTCGTTTAAATTTTTTTAGCTTTAGGTTTTGGCCACATAAAAAATTCTACCAAAAATATCTTGCGGGGTTCGATATCTGAAGATGCCATCTATAGCCATTTTTACGCGCATTTGTTATCCTCACCGTATGCACACTATTTGTCTGTCAATCTACTAAACTACATCTTCATTTGCATGCCATTTTATTGTTTGACTATTGGATTTGAACTCACGTCAGTCTCGGCTGGTTTTGGCCATATCGTACGACAGGGATCAGCCGCTCTGTTGACAGCTTCCCCATTGTCGTTACGTATGTTTACCTTCCTAGCAGTCTGAAGCGCTTAGAATGGGAAGGAAGACTTCCCCTGTAATAGTAGACCCGAAACATGAGATCGTAGGTCAAGACAAATGCGTCATGATTTTTCTGTAAAAGTCAAAAGTTCTAATTCGCATTTGCGCATTTTTGTTTCCGAGAAAAGAATGAGCTTTTTGCTGGCACTTATGATTAGTGTCGGCTACCATTGCTGAAATTTCATCTCATTTCCTTGTTCTCTGGGAAATATTATAGAAAATAATTGCGTGTGTCGCGTTTAATGCACACTAATTTATCTAATTATTAGTCCTTCCTACAACCATTTCCTGCTCAAAAACAGCAGGAGCATTTTAAATCGAAATTGCCCTGCTTTTGGCAGAGATTGAAATTGATGAAACAAAGAAGAGCTTTGAAAACAGGTCCGTCTCAACGTTTACACTATTTGCATAAAATCTTGCAGTAGTTTCAAAAATTTCTCATTACCGAAAGCCAAATTACCAGTTCATAGGATATGCACGAATCAGTGCGTTTTTGAATCTCTACTCCTTGCAATTTAATCTCTTGTTCTTGCATTTTCACCGAATGGTTAATCATTGATACCCTCTCTCATTTACTCAATTTTTCACGAAATGCGCAACAAGAAGGCATACATATTTGCACAGTGCGTATTCATCACACTGTAAGCAGTAAAATATCAAGTGATGCAATAAAATTGGATGAAACCATCTGATGAGTACGCATGTTTTTTTATTCATGTTTTTATTATTCTTTATTGCTCCAGATACTCTAAATCAATTAAAAGGGCTTGTAATCTGAAAGGCTGAGGAACGTCAAAGTTCTTGCTGTGTGAGTTTCGCGCATCTTCGTTCGACGTACTTAGCGAAGCTGTGAACTTATGTGCATGAAGAAGGCGCAATACCTTTGGGCGGGCTTCATTAGCCGCAGAGCGCACAAGGCGCAGGATTTACAACAGTGAGGTTGTAAATCACCGCGTTCGCACCCGCTCAACTAATACTGCTTCTATGCCTTCGTCATGCAGTAGTTTAACTGGAACTTTTTGAATACAATTATCGAATGACTGCATGAAAACCTAGCTAGCATCTACGTTGGCACTATACTCTGTTCTTTGACATATACTGAAACTGATCGTTGTTTTGGTGTGTCCTTCTGATTTTCTTCATCGCGGCAATGCAGGGTGTAACGAGAAGCGAAAATACTGCGCAGACAACCTATTGTATGTGACGAATACAAGTTCGCGGGGCTAGTTGAAAAGCCACACCCCAAAGCGATTAGAAATTTAAAATGTCGATTGGAAATTAGCGGAACTTCAAGAAAAGAGAAGAAGAGATCTTTGCGTGTTTTCTGGTCTCATTTTCAATATTGAACGATTGACCCTCTAGCATTAGGTTGTCTCGAAAGTTCCGTTGTTTCATTTTTGAAATTCGTAACTTTTCGCTGTCTTGACGTTTCTGCATCTATGTAATTTTATTAGAAAGAAGAAGACATGCTTTATGTAATGGTATCTTCCTGGACTTTTTCCACAATTCTTTGCAGAGATAAAAATGGGAAAATAAGACCACTCAAGCTTTGATCAGTCAGGTCACCAAGTCTGAAAATTTGCAAAAAAAATCTGAAATCATCAGTACATAAGTTTTATGATCTGTTCCTTGCGACGGTGAAGAAATTCTGCTGTTTCGACGTTTCTGTGAAAAGTTATGAATTCTGAGAAAAGTGGAAATTGGTCAGTTTTAGTGTCTACGTAAACTCGAAAATTATAACTTTTCACAGAGACGTCCAAACAGCACAGTTTTTTTCACTTACAAAAAATAGGTCATGAAACTTATGCACTGATGATTTTAGATTTTTCGTAACCAGATTTCTGGTGAGCTAACTTAAAATGATCAAAGCCTGAATGGTCTTCTTTTTCCATTTTTATCTCTGTAATGAATGTATGGTAGAAGCCCAGCAAGATAACATTGCCAAGAGCATGTCTTCTTTTTCATATAAAATCACAAAGATGCACACACGTGAAGACAGCGAAATGTTCCGAATTCTCAAAAATGAAACGACAGAACTTTCTGGACAACCTATTATCTTGAACTATCTGCAGTTCCACCCTATTCGAACGGGTATGACTCATGAAAAACGGTTCGAATTTGAACGCCAGCAGAAATGGCACGCCTTTCATCTGCTTACAAAGCTGAAAATCACTTATCTTATTAGAACTTACTTGAGAATGTTTTTTTAGTGGCTTACTGCCCAGGAAAGAAAATTAGGCTTTTGTTTTCCGTTTTTTCCTTACAGCCATGACTAGAACAATTATCATCCTCTCTTGGAATGTAACGCATTATTTTGTGAAGTGCAAACAAAGGCGCTGCTTTTGCGTAAAAGCAGTGATTGCGGAAAGTGAAGGAGTAAATTAACTTGCTGAAGTTGAAATATCTGGGATAGGAGAACGAAGGTTGAGCCGGATTTCGCGGCCGGTTGGTCCTTTTGCAGTGTTGTTGCATGTTGTTCCAGGACCAGTAGTCCGCGGAGGCGATCCAAAGTGGCGGCTTTCGTTCTCCTACCCAAATAACAGTGAACCAGCATATCATAGTATAGTGCAATGATTCTACACCCAAACTAGTGTTTTGCATTGCCGAGAACACTACTTAAAATTACTTTTCCGAACGAATCAAAATTATGCGCCCTTCGGTCCTCGCCTTTATCGCCACCGTTTGTTGCAAATCTTTAAACCAGAAAATATTGTGTTTTACCGTCTATCTCTAATTCTACTGCATACCTCTGTGGTAACTAATAAACTAATTTGAACACATCACCTTCAAAATCACTATTTCCAGGAGATGCGGGGTCCAGGACCAGGTGTAGACGACAGGGATGCGTTGCTACGCGAAAACGAAGCACTTCGGAAGCAGCTGCATGAGAAGGACGAACTCATCTTGTCTCTTCGACAGCAAATCGCAGCTCAGCACAGCTAAAGCTATGGCCAAAGGCCTCCATGCACAAATTTTGTCTTTCCTTATTTTTGATCTCAGTCGCTGCATGTGAAAATGACGATCTCTGGGTACATTGTGATGTTTTTCTCGTTTTTTGTGTTTTCTGTTTTCTTTGTAAACACAGTTGTGCCCTAACCGATATTATTTACCGGTGTCTCTTCAAATCAACAATGTGCAGTTCTCGTTTTTTATTGCAATTGTATTTGATAGATTTTCTCTAGGTAATAAATACTTTTTTGCTATATTTGATCTTGCGATTTAATATGACGTTAATGTACCGCGTATAAACTCAAAGCGATAACGACAAAACGCAAACTTGAATTAGGCCAAAACGAACCTATAACAATGGCGGGATGCAGCAGCAACAATTTGAGTTATTGCGCTCAAATAGCAGTACCTGATATTATGTAACAACACTTGTTTTCGTTTCTCTCCACGCTCCTCCCCCCTCTCCTGCGCCCCTTTTGATGCGTTTTCGGTTTATTCACAATGGCTGTATTGTTCAGTCGTAGCTGAGTCAGCACGAAAACGGCGGTAGAAGTTTCTTTGACGTCTTTGATGTGCCTAGGGTCGTGGTTAGCAAAGGGAATGTATGTTTTGCAAAGAGCGTATGAAAAGTAATGTGACACCTTGTCTACGTTGTTATGGCCTCTTTTTTCTGCGAGAGCTTTGTGTTTGTTCAGTTGCACTTTCATTTACTTCCTTTTTTATGGGATCACAGCGCATAAGCTTCGTCGACTTTTCATACGTTATTCCAAAAATATCAAATAAGCGACATGACAGAAATCCAATAAAACTTTCAAGTTTTCTAAACAGCCGTAGCGAATTTATTTTTTGAACAATACGAAAAGTCTCGTACACTTTCGGGCAGAAATAGTAAAATCATCAAGGTTGATCATCTGAAATTGTAACCCATGTACTCAACTTTTCAAATGTTGCTCTGTTTCCTTTTTTTCTCTGTTCGCTTGATCATAGTAATCTCATTGCACAAATTGAAAATTATTCCTTTCGAAGCTAACAAGGTTATTTAAATATCCTTTGACCGTGCTGGAAATTGTTTTTAAAAGAATTTTTTTTTAAATTTCGTGAACTAACTAAAGTTAACTCGAATGAATTTTCTGGCTTAGAAGGTTCAAATATGAGATTCGGCTAACTTAAAATTTTATGGATTGTTTCGTTACCGTATTCCTACAATCTTTTTACTTTGCCAACACTGCGTGAATAGTGTGGTGACGATTTTTTTAATACTCTTTTATATAAAAGAAATCGCTCTATGCTGGCAAAGTAAGAATATTGTTGATATAGTTTCCTGGGCATTGTTGTGCACTACGCTTTCCTATGAGAAATCTATTCTTATTACACTGAAAAGACACAAGAAAATAGGGACCCTTTGCTGCTAGATAACGGAAGCCTCTCACTTTCATTTTGCCATAACAAAAAGAAATTTTCCTTAATTGAAATTCACGTGATTGAAACTTCTATCTACAGTCTTCACGGATATACAGAAAGACACCAATGTCAATAGATTGTTCCCACTACCGCCAATTAGGCGATCTAATCCGACAACCTAATTTCTTTGCATTAGTGCTTTGTAAAGATAGCAGCCTACCTTAATCGGCCAACTGATATCGTGACCTGAATTATTCGTAGAAAATATAGGAAGCGGCCAATTGTCCTTGAATTGATATCGTCAAAGTTTCTGTAGGCGAAACTGATTGAAATATTTATCCTTAGGTTTTCAGAGCTATTAGGTTGTCAAGAAAATAATGTCCGTTTTTATTTGCTTGCTTTAACAAAGCAACCAGACTCAACCCAACAAAGGGTAAGGGGTACTGTTCGATAGAGCAAAGCAAGCTCTACAAGATGGCGCTCATGTCTTTGCGCCGTGCTCGATCCACGGAGAGTTCGAACTCAAAATCTAAAGATTTCCAAATGCCCAAAAAATTGAAAAAAATCAGATCTTCGTCCAAATAATTTCTACGGACCTCCCACTCGCTCACATCAATACTATCGATATCTGATAATCCATATGTGCGATTGCCGTATTTTTTCCTTGACTAGAAACTGAGAAAACGAAAATTTCCCTGATTTTCTCAAAGCAATGCTGAGCCGTTTTTGCATATGTAGTTCTATACTACAAGCCTAGGTAAGTATAACTGTAGATTTTCAGCCCATTCCAAGCGGTAGTTTTCGAATAATAACGAATTCGAATTTTTTCGTTTGAGTTTCAGTGCTAAAATCGACATTTCTCGAAAAGAACCGCTCGAAATAGACTGAAAACCTACAGTTATACTTACCTAGGCTTGTAGTATAGAACTACATATGCAAAAACGGCTCAGCATTGCCTTGAGAAAATTAGGGAAATTTTCGTTTTCTCAGTTCTAGTCAAGGAAAAAATACGGCAATCGCACATATGGATATCAGATATCGATAGTTTGATGTGAGCGAGTGGGAGGTCCGTAGAAATTATTTGGACGAAGATCTGATTTTTTTCGATTTTTTGGGCATTTGGAAATCTTTAGATTTTGAGTTCGAACTCTCCGTGGATCGAGCACGGCGCAAAGACATGAGCGCCATCTTGTAGAGCTTGCTTTGCTCTATCGAACAGTACCTCTTATCCTTTGTTGGGTTGAGTCTGGTTGCTTTGTTAAAGCAAGCAAATAAAAACGGACATTATTTTCTTGACAACCTAATATTATCATAGGCCAATTCGCAGCTTTGAGAGCCTGTATTCTTTTGGCTCTTACAGTTTCTTCCTACTTGCGCTTGATCGGCATATCAGCTTTAACGTTTTACAGACAAACCGCTGCCGTCTTTACTGCTCTACCGAGTGCCTACAGAGAGACCTAGAATGATGATCTAAATGAAGTCGAGGATATCCGAAGCCAACTGGAAAAGCTACAGTATCTGATTTCACAATTCATTTTTATTTTATCAAAATTGACTGTAAGCATATGCTATCGACGTCACGCAAACGATGCTAAATTCCATTTCTTAATTAGCCATCATTCTGAACCAAAAAACCTTCCATTTCCTTCCTATCCCACATATCCCATTAGTGTGTGTTACTTCTTCCGTCTATGGAGAATTCAGTGTGAATCGCGAGCAATCGTGCTTTGTTCTGTAGTCGAGAGCCCTCTGTTTGCGGTAACGAAGTCGATGCATTCCTCTCGCTCTTGGTGTTTCTGCCACCTCTTTTATCAGTAAATTGTTTTTTTGAAGAAGAACAATACCATGTTACTTGTTCGAAGTTGTTGTGAAAGACACTGTAAAGCAAACAGCGTTTCTTGCACCGCTGACAATACTTCAGTAATTTTCATGGGGCTTAATATGAAACACGCCCTAAATAACCATTTCTTGCGCAAAGTTGACTTCATCCCGAGCACATTGTTTAAAGGCAGTGTCCGGGCAAAAACTCAATCTTGAGATTTTGTGCTTACCCGGGCCTATTCGCTACGCTAAATCCGAAAATGCACATTGGAGAACGCGAAAACGGCGAAAAACGGCTCTAACACAGGAGGGAAATCAGCAGGTGGGCGGGACCCTCCTCACTGTGAATTCACGATCCCAGCTTCCGGAGCCATCTTTTCGCTCCCGGTTTCAAGTCAGTCATTCGCACCTGGCCGGTACCGATGTTAGGACGGCTAGCGGAATCGAGAAGACCGCTCAGGAAGCTGGGAGCGTAAACTCACAGTGGGGAGTGCCCCGCCCACTTGCTGTTTCCCTCCAGCGCTAGAGCTCTTTTTTGCCGTTTTCGCGCTTTCCAGTGTGAATTTTCGGATTCAGCATGGCGAATAGGACCCTATAAACACAAAATCTCAAAATCGGGTTTTTACCCGGACACTGCCTTTAACTATCAAATCCACTAAACTATATCTTCATCTGCATGCCATTTCAATGTTTGCCCTTGATTGCTCTCGGCTGCTTTCGGCACCGTACGGAAGGGATCAGCCGTTATGTTGTCAGCTTCCCCATTGTCGTTACGTATGTTTACCTTTGTAGCTGTCTAATGTTAGAATGGGAAGGGAGACTTCTTTCATGGGGTGGTAGTGTCAAAACATAACAGATACATACCAAACCAATGCATCGTTATAGGTTTTGTGAGAGTCATGATTTCCATCCTCCTTCGAAGCAATTTTGTTTCATAGGATAAGCAAGTTGGTAGCACATTACTTATTATGGATCAAACAAGAGTTCCAAGCATGTCTTTTTGTCTCACTGTCTTCAACACTTTTAAAGATTATAATGTAAGCTACAGATGCACCATTTTCGCCGAGTTTCGCCAAATATGTAAGGGCGACGGTAGGATGAAGGTACATTCGAACATTGGGAGTCGAATTTCGAATAAATATTTGAACGATTTATCGAATAACTAGAACAACCACATTTAAACTTGCTGACTATTCCGCTGAAGCCGATCTATTCATATCAGCACTCTCACCACCAACTCCTAGCTCAAGATTTTCCAAAAATCGGTGAAATCAATAGAATAGATTTTATTTTCAATCGATATCCTCATTTACCCCTGGAAAGGACATTATCAAAGGTTCGCTGTCGTAGTCCAACCTCCTCCGAGATTCCAAAACACATGAAAATTTATTCTTGTTCTGTCCACCATAAGTCGTCTAATCGCAACAATCAAATTTATAACAGTTTTGCTTTACTGCGAAGCCATTTTCTTGCACACATACGATCTAATTCTCTGATCACAAGGATAATTTCCCCACTTTTGATACTTTGAAGCATGTTTGCCGTCTTGATGAGGATCACTCCATAGCTAAAATCGTATAATTTCACTAAAAATGACGAAAGCTCAAGTGGATAATCAAAGAAGATCAGTTAGGGTTGTTTCATACTGCCGCACTGACTGCAGCAGTCTGCAACTGACTGTACTGACCGCTGCAGACTGCTGCAGACTGCAGCAGACTGCAGCTGACTGCAGCTGACCGCACTGACCGCAACGGCCGCCGCACGGACGCTGCATGCTTTCGTAAAGGAGAAAACAATTGCGATTATGTCAAAACACCGTGATTTACGTCTAGGAAGTTCATAGATTCTAACTTACTCTTTTCAATCACATTCTGGCGATTGTTTTTCATTGGTATGCTTATAATTGTTCTGATTCATGCTTTATTGCATAACCTGTTTTACTCTCATTCGTGTTGTCTTTTGGATCTAGGTATATATTGTTGTTGATTGTTTAGGTTACAACTATTTATCCTCTCCACCTTCACGGGAGGATACAACGATCTGTGCGGCCCTTGCGGTCAGTGCGGTAATGCAGCCTGCTGCAGTCTGTTGCAGTCTGCTGTAGTCTGCTGCAGTCAGCTGCAGTCAGTGCGGTCTGCTGCAGTCTGCTGCGGTCAGTGCGGCAGTCTGAAACGACCCTTACGCTTGATACAGTAAGAACAAGCGATTATTAAAACCGCAGATGATGCTTGGCTTTTGTCGACCTCCAGCTTAGATTCTGAGAGTAGCATTTTTTCAATAGACAAATAGCAAAATTTCGAAGTAAAAAAATTCTCCAATGCTATAGCTTTGTCAACACACTTTGAAAAAAGACTCATACGATATTGAGAAGATCTAGGGCTGATTCAAATTATCAGCAACAAGATGATAGGTGAAATTGATATAAATGTGTATGACTACCTGACTAATCAGTTGGTGTATTGACTTGAGTAATGATTGGATGCTATATATTGATGCTTCAAAATGCAATTCTTAGGCCCCTTTGCACGTAAAGTCGACTGCACAAAATCGCCCAAGTCGCTTTAGGATGAACGCACGCGAGCGTGCCTGCGACGCGACTGCCGAGTGCTGGCGCTATGATAACTTATGCGCACCAATGTTATCCCGCAAGAGAACTCGCGGGCGTTCAGCCCAGCCGATTCCGTGCAGTCAACTATAAAGGATATTCAGCGACAACCGCCCCGACTCCCACCACTGTGCGCGCATTTTTGGAGCCTTCAAAGTTTTACAGTACTTTCTGTGCGCGAAGAATTTGCAGCAAGCAGCCTCCTAGTCCTACAATATCCAGCGTTATCAAAGCATTCTCTATCCCTTTTTCTTTTTGGTTCCCATCTCGGGCACTTACTCGTCCTCCTTTTTTTAGGTTCACTCGATGATCGAGCATCCCACGACTTCTACTTTGATAAACACTGAAAGGTCAACAAGAACGAAGTTTTGACGCTTTCCTTGTATTTCTTCCCTTTTCCACCTTTTCGAGGATCGTGGACCATCGCCCCGGTAAAGTTAGCGAAAAAGTGAGTTTTTTATGAGCATTGGTCGCTATCATGGCTTTCACCTAGATAAGATCACGCAAATGTTTACTTTAGTAATCCTACATGATGCCCCTAATGTAAGAGTGCTGAAATAACCACCACAGTAGCCTATCCCAAGAAAAATGGCAAGTCTGTGAAATATTGTAGAGATGTGCACTCAATCAAAGCCATGATATCTTCTGCTGCTCTTATGAAAAACCCATTCTTTCTCCTAATTTTGCCCGGAGCGATGGTCTTGGTCGAGATGGGAAAACGAGTAAGTGCTCGAATGAAAAAGAAGAAAAAACGATGCCGAATGTCAAATTAACAAAAGAAGTTATAAAACAAGGGTGTATTGAGCTGCAGAATCCCTACGCACTGCTGCGTGCTGTAGCTGGAAATGATCCAGAAACGCACGCGCCACGCGCGTGTGGTGTGAATGCTCGAGTTGGGGCGGTCGTGAATATCCCTTACGTCCCCGGTGGAGAGGGGAGGGGATCTGGAAGGGGACGCGTCATATCTTGTTACTCTAGCTATCTTTATAATTCCTTCTCTATCTATAAGGTCCTTCCGAAAGTAAATTCGCTTTTTCAGACGAGCGTAACATCCCGCAAAAAAATGTCCTTGTAGGCTTCAAGTGCATACGATGCAGCTTTTCACTTTCTTTCAAATGGTGGTTCTATACTGCAGTCTAACTGACAAGCTTAAACAAAGTGATCAAAAACTGCAGCTTTTTCTCCTAGTTTTAAAAAACGTTTTTATTGTACAAAGTCCTCGATATAAGATCATAATTCATGTTTCTAAACGCGTCTCATACACTACCCGAAAAATTCAACATATGAAATTTTGGATTCGTGAAAGCTCACTTGTTTTGTGAGATTAGATTTAAATGTAATCTCTTTTCGGAAGCCTTAGATTCCTTAGATATGATGTTTAATGAGTTTGTGCCTGAGATAGGCCTGCTAAAATCTGGTGGCTTTAATAAAAAAATCTTTAAGATTGCGATGAGCTACGTGGAAAAGATAAACAATTGTTCCGCATCCAATGGGCTTACTTTACCAGTATCTGGATTGCTGAGGATTGGTACAAAAATATTGAAAAATTGTAAAAGTTGACCATGGCAAAAACCATAGGGCGTTTGTTCGTTTTCTATGAGCTACTTTTCATACACTAATACTTGAGTTTAATGGATAATACAGGATTGCCATACAATCTGAAATCTTCAATATCTTGTGTGATCCCGTATGGGATCAACCCTTGCTTACAAAGTCGTCTATCCCTTCAAAAACTCGATGAAATAGTTTCAAAGTTGCAATGAGAGTTTATTATGGCACCGCTACGAATATATTCGACAGGACAAATGGATGTGCAGGTTGTGAATTTTCCCATGAACTCAGCTCGCAAAGTCGTTCATCGAAGTTTCCTATGTCCTGAGATTTCTACTTCCACCCGCAAACATGTCCTGCATGTGTAATAATTTCGTAATAACTCCTCAGACAATTTTATCAATAGATACGACTTTGAACGGGGGTGACTCCCTGGGGATTTTCTGGGGAAGACGACCCTTCCGAACCGCTAGCATTAGCAGCCTAATTACTGCGCGCCTCTGATTGGTCGGCGCTGCCACTGCGCTGAGGTAGGCGAGAGCTTTGCTGTCGTTAGAGACGTCTGAATTGGACTGCAAGGGCATAAAAATGTTATACCTGGGCGGTTCAGGTAAATTCTTCAGCTTACACGTGCAGATTTCATATTGCTTTGAAAAGTGGGAAGGGCAAAGAAATAACGAAAGGCCATTTGAAAAAACATGCAACTTTTCCAACTTTTTGCATAATTTAAACATCATCATTATCATTATTCGTGTGCCTTGCTTGCTTTGGAATGCTCAGAAATATTTGAAAATTCTGATAGATTATAAAAGGCGAAGTAGTTACCGCCGCCCAGGCGGAGTAATTAGCGCTAGGACGAAGCGGTTCAGAAGAGCACACACATCTTCTGGGAAATCACACAAAACAGTAAGAATCTCAGCTTGCAGGGCAATGTTTTGTTATTCTTACATCTTACACTTAAATCGGTGTGAAAACCAAAAAAATATGTAGAGAAAAAAAAATAATAGAGATATCTAAAATAGCGTAATGAGATATCACGCATCCTGTCGCGGCTCCGCGATGAGCAGCTCCTCGAAATAACGAGCCGGGAGCGCTGGTTGCCGCACTGCCAATCGCGATGCTATTTTCTTGGCTAGACCTCTTCCGCTGGTGCGCTGTCAAGCAGGGGGCTATGTATAGCCCCTAAGGAGCCGCAACACATCCCTTCTCAGATCCCCTGCTTCCCCTAGCCGGTATGTAGGTGCATAAGGGGCATTGATTAACACTAGTGTTGCTATACGTGGCAACTGGATCTCGCGATATCAGAGCTCTCCTCTCAAATTCGAAGATCATATGATACAGAAATTTGAAAAAGTGGGCCAGAGATTTCTGACAAGCTAATAAAGAGAAATAAATAAATAAATAGATTAGGAGCAGAAAGTTTTACCGCATAACGGGTTAAGATGTGGAGCGGCAAGTTGCGCATCGAAAGAGTGAGCAAGGTACCATTTGATAGAACAAAGCAAGCCCTACGAAGAGGCCTTAAAACCTTCGCAAAAAGATGGATTTTTATGAAATTTGCAGTCAAAATTTAAGGTGCTTTGAATTTTATAATCGAAAGACAAATTTTAGCCCCGAAATTTCTACGGACCTCCAGCTTGCTTAAGCAGTTGTTTTCTTCGGCAATGTACATTCATGTGTAGACTTTGGTATTTTCCCGCTGCTGGAAATTGAAAAATCGGTGTTCATCATGCCTTTGCCAAAGCGATGCTAAGCTAGTTGCACATTAGCAGTTTTATACATACTACTTCGGAAGCACCATAAACAACTTTCAACAAACATTAGATTTTCAAATAACAATTTCTGCATTAGAACCTTCTAATAATGACATTTTTGCACTTCCGACGTGCTTTTGTTCTTCAATTTCTGGACCATGGAATGAATTCGTGTTTCTATCACTCTCTACTGTGCGGAGCGCTATGCTCTGCACAATAGAGAGTGATAGAAACATGCTATGCTTGAACACGTTGAAAGTCTCAGAGTATTTTAGGGCGAAGATAAGAATTGTATGTATTTTTTGAGCATTCAAAAATTCTCCAGATTTTAGCTATACAAACTTCACAATCAAACGTTGCCGTTGTTTCAATGTCATCTTGTACAGCTTGCTTCGCTTTATCGAATGGTATCCTACTTACTTATTTGCTTCTCATCTACCACCCGCATCACATCCTTATGTGACAATTTAGCATTCATATCTTGAGCCTACAACGAGAGCTACAAATCTGTACAAGTTGTTCTGTTTCAACAGATGTGGAAAAGATAAGAATTTCCAAAAGGTTTTTTGACTTCTACAGAGGGTGTCCTCAGTTTTGTAACTTAAAACCTCGGAACTCTCTAAAACTTGACACCCGTTATTTCACGAGCTGATTACGGAAATAAAGCTGGTTTTGTGTGGTAGAGTCTCTTTGTTGCGCTTACGTCAGATATCCGATGAAAGTAGTGACAGACAGGCGCCCACCTCTCCCCGCCCCCCTCCTCTCAAAATGGTTCGCGAAATTTTTTAACATACCCTACATAAACTAAATAAATGGCCGCCATCGGGTGGGTAATGGTATTTGTCAGAAAGAGCTTGCATATTGTATATTGGTCCTATCAGTCATGCAGATAACGAATATCATGTTATCATTGTTGTCAAGATCACTCTTTGATTCCCCCTGTTCCACCCGACGATTACATACATGGTTGTAAATAGCCGCTATATGCTATACGTTTTGCTTTTACCCTGCTTGCAAGTTTCTTCAAAGATCTATTGCGATAAAAACTTAATTTTATGAAGTAGAGAGAGCAGATACTGAAAGAAAAGCGTAAAGGAAACTTTGAGGACGATATAGCGCATGCAAAATCTACTGAGAGGAGTTCACTATCGCTTTCAAAGATCTTCAGTACATTAAAGGAATTGAAGTAAAAAGTACTGCATCAAAAAAAAATTGTTTATCAGTGGTTGTCTCAACAAGCACGCTTAAATGAGAAGATTTCTGGAATCTGGTTGGATTGATTAATCTTCTGATCAATCATGTTCAGCATACATAGGTGTCATCGGCTTGACAAACAGTTGCACCTTCTATAGCAATTGATAAAAAATCTTACCAGGGCGCAGTCAAGGTCGCCGGAGGTAGGATCCCCAGGAAGCCAGTTCAGAAGGTCAACTTCTGTGCCGTCAGTCCAAGTCCAGTTCTTGCTATTTGTCTCATACCGTAGGCCTATCAAAGTCAAATCGTGCCAGTCAGCGAATGGCTTACCCATTTTCGCCATCTCTTGAATACAAAGCGAGCCATCTGGTATTCTACACCCGAATAAAACAGAATGACTTTACCGGCAACGAATAAATTTTCGTCAAAACTATGAATTGAAGTCAGATGGCCTTCAAACATGTTACACATGTATTCTGCACTGTAGAAAGTCTCGCCAAAGAAAGTCTGCAATTATGTTTTCAATTTATTCGCATTAACATGCGTGTTGCACATCACGCGCCCTAACTCACGACCTGTGAGATCAGAAGCTCTTAGTTTTCCAAAACTCCTTGTTTTGTTTTTTATTTTGATTAACTGGATATGTATTCGGTGTAAACACATTCACACACCACTTCACCTCGAAAAGCTGTTATCGACGAGTTGCCAAAGAGATGTATTCAAATTGCCGCGCATTCTGCAGGTTCACATATTGAGTACATACAAATAGGCTAGCACATACATTCAATGAACATTTTCGGATTATGTCTTGACGAATATTGTATACCAGTGCTCACCTAAGTGTAGCTTGCAAAGTCGCCGTGGAAATGGCAAACGTCAAGCTGAATTTTTCGAGCAGAAGCAATGGAAATATAAGGAGGCAAAACAGATAAATTTATGTCACGTGCGTATATACAGGGTGTTCCAAAAAATGTGCACACTGTTGGATTGTGGATAACTCATAATGAAGTGTTTCGAGAAGCTTTAGGTGCCATTTTGTAGAGCAAGGTTTAACTTAGATTTACAGTTTAGAGCGAATCGCCCATCGCTCATTCTTACTGTAGGATTACGGTAGAAACTTCAAACATATGGTGTCACTGTGAAAAAAGCGGGTTTCAAAAATTTTAAAAAATGTGGAAACTTGTGTAATGGGGTTTTCGTGGGCGCTGAGTTCAATATCCAACTCTTTACAAGGTTGAGCTTTCTAAACCGCGTAACCGCACTTTTTAGGAAATCGAAAAAAAGGCCGCTAATGCTTACCTCGCATAATTCTTTGATGAAGCATTACGAAAAATTGCGAACTTCACATTTAAAATCAGCAACTCTATTAGCCCAGTCTAAGAGTTTTCAGGTTGTTTTGGTTCCTTTTTGGAACAAAATATGGCCTTTCATGGCTCAAAACCCTCTTCAAAGTTTCTACCGTAATCCTACTACAGTAAGCATGAGCAGTCGGCTATTCACTCTACACTGTAAATTAAGTTGAACCTCGCTCTACAAAAGGTACCTAAAGTTTCTCAAAACACTTAATTACAAGAGAGTTATTTACAATCACAGTGTGCACATTTTTCTGGGACACCCTACATATAGATATATAGAAATCTTGTTTTGTCTCTTTGTACGATTGAGGGGAATGGCCCTCATGGCCTTCTGTTATCGTCAGATTCTCAGGGCATGCATGTGGCTGTTATCACCAAATCCGAAAAAAAGTTTGAAATTCAAAACAGTAAAATTGCGATGTTTCATGCAAAACCATCAGCCTTTTTGGAAACATCATGTCAAAAAACCCTAATTGTGAAATTTGCCAAACATACAGAAAATTTGTGGAAAAATAATTAAAGCAGTGAGCGAAACCATTAGCTTTTTACGAAACAGCATGTCAGAAAACCCTTACATAGAACTTTTAAAATTTTTATCTGTGAAAACGAAAAATCCTAGGTTTCAAGCAAAACGATAACATATTCGGAACAGCGTGATAGAATACCCCTAAATACAAGTTTTTGCCCTAAATGAACTGATTTTACTACTGAATTTTGAATTCGAATTTCAAAGATTCGATTTCATAGGCTGCAGGATGATGAAGGAGTGTACCGTGAGCAGAATCAGCTCATCTTCGGTGCAAGTTGAGTGCAAATTAGCGTTGCTGCCAGTTCATGACCTCTCATGAACTCTGCTAACTAGGCGGCGGCAACCTTACCAGTGTATGTAAGTTCCCTCAGCCAAGTTACTCTGGTACCAATCTACTGTCCCCAGAGGGTAAAGGACTTGGTTGGCCCAGGGGCGGGATCGAACCCGCGTCCGACTTGGACATAGCGGCGCCTCATACCACTCGCCACTCGTCCCCCCTAATGTAAAACAGGTATAAAAAGCAAAAGGAACTGCTGAAAACGAATGAAAACGCTGCAATGAGGTTTAAAATCTTTCATTTGGCCTTTTCAAAGTGCAAATTTTCGCTCCGACCAGCAATTCGCAACTCGGGGGAAAGCGAAGAAGAGCTGAATTCTTTGTTATGATTGTTTCAAAAAACATGTTTTGAAAAGAATGGTCATCAAGAAGAAGATAAACAAGAAAGAAATTAGTTATAAAAACGCAAAGTCTCTTCTTACTAAGTCGAAAAGAAGACGAAGCCAAATTTAATTTTTGATTTCTTCAAATTTTTCAAATTTTTGATTCCTTCAAATTTGTATTCCTTAACTCTTTTTTCAAATTTTTGATTCCTTCAAATTTGTATTCCTTAACTCTAAGTGTCACGTTTGGCAAGAATATATTGTACTTCTAGGCAAGTACCAGTAGCAACCATGGTTCTCATGTTTTCTGTGCATAATGACGACGCCCCAAGGTTATTTTCTTACTGCTATGATTGTTATTTCTGTTAGTATATGCACTTTCGTACGTAATGGGTCGTATGTTCTGATCAAGAGCGATATTGCAGATCAAATGCAATGGCAAACGGCTTGAGGCGGTCGTAAACAAAACCAGATGTGATTTTCAAGCGTATGAGTTCTGAAACTGCCTACAAAAATACGATAAGTCGGCTTGAGAGAAAAAAATGATTTAATTTGACACACTCTTTTCTGCATTTAGTTCAGTATCAGCGTTGGGTGAACTACTGAATGAAGACTATCTTGAAATAATCAAGGTACAATTACTGAAAGTGTAATTAAAGGCACTTTTTAACCAAATTGAGGGTGATGAGTTTTTGATGCTATCTAAAGCAAGGCGCCTAGCCAAGCAATCGCTATTCGCTGCAAAACATGAATTACAAAACGAGAAAGTAGAAGGGCCCAGCTGACTGCACCTATCAAAATGGGTGGTCTCTGCAGATAGTATGTCCAATCTTGGGCTCAAATGTCCAGGACTGCCAAGGATTGGTCCTTCATAATGATCATCAGATTTGAGACATTTGTCAACCGAAGGCCCAATTTCGGGTTCGTAATTTTCAGACCACCCATAATGATGGGCAGAGGCATCATTCACTTCTGAAGCGGTTTTCTCGCTTTGAAATCCATCTTTTATAGAGAAATAGATTGTTTAGTTGAGGGGCGCATTTACATACGAAATATCATCACCGTCATTTTTGGTGGGCGGTGCCTTCAAGGTAAGCTAGTCATTGGAGCTGTTTCTCAAGGTTAAATCCACCTCTGCCAGCATGATGAGGGCTGGTGTATACTGAAACACGAGTACTGTAGTTGCGATAAATAGATCTTGCTTTAAGAATCTTCTAATATTAGAGTGATCCGAAAGTAACAGGGCATCTTGATTTTTTACAGAAAAATCAGCGAGCAATGTAAGTATTCTTTAATATATCCTTCGCTTGTTAATCTGACAGCACCCTGCTGCTCCCCTTACAACTTTGCGAGAGGCACCTCAAAGAATTCGAAAAGACTTTTTGGAACGTTAACCAATTTTGTTCTTTTGTGCCCTGAAGTCCTTAATGTGTGACATATCGAATGAAACAACTTCCCAAGCTCTTTCTATTCATCTGATGAATATGCGAAAATTTTTCAGACCAATGTGTCACCTCTGCTTCGCAAAGTGGACTCTCCCACTTTCGGCGACATATAGTTCCCTACCGCATATCATTAGATGCGTCTTGATGAGCTGTTTCCAGATCTACCTTTCATATCGATGCCGTTTCCAGGAAGAAGTTATGAGCGGTTAAAAGTGTGATATTGTGGGATTTCAATGCATAGTAATGTGTTTTCGAATTTGAAAACGTATGATTGGCATTTAGGAGTACTGATTTCATGGAATGCTCATGTTTAGAAGAAATAGGAATAAGTATTTTGAACAAGTAAAAAACAACTAAAGTTTTTTCAATAGCTACAAGCATCGAAAGTCTAATTTGGCAGATATACTGCTCCACACTTCAAGAATTAGTTGACTAAAACACTTATATGTGTTTCCCGTAGATGTGACATTTTTTTCAAATCACTACACCCTCATTTTGGCCGCGCACTTCCAAGTTGGATTCTAAAGCACACTATACATTGAAACTCCAATAACTTCACATTTTTAACCGCCAATAACTTTTCAGAGAACGGCTTCGCAGATGTGGACAATAGATTTGGAATCAATTCATCAAGGCGCATCTATTAGTATGCGCCTCATTCTAGTTGGCCAACTTAAGTTGGGATCCTTCCTTTGTGAGATTAGAGTGGATGATATCATCCCACACCCCACCTACATGGCCCGCTGCCGTAGTTAACGTGCTCAAACACGATCTAACTCTAGACGTAAATTCATGAACTAAACTTTCGTATCTAGCAAAGTGGTGAACTGACCCTTTGACAGCGTGCATTGCAATGTCATCAAATTTTGTGCACATCCGCTGGTGATACATTTTGTAGTACGCTGCGATGGCAGTTGGTCATCATGTAGGATGCGCAAGGGTACACTGGCAACGCCAGCAGTAGCAAGTGCCTCGTTTCGTCCATGCAAATTCCTTCGACCTGCTTGAAAGACTCTAACTACTGTGCATATGCGAGATTGTCGGCGATTTTAACTTACGCCGTATACGTGGCACAATCTCACTAAAGAAATAGGACCAAAGCAGTAACCTTGGCACCTATCGAGGCACCGTCTACCCAAATTCTCAATTTCCATCTTTTATCGCTTTCTGGCCTTGTGAAGGCCCTAATTTCGTGGAGCCGAGAATCCGTAAAAACTCCAAAAAACACGTTTGAAAAACCCGCTGCAGCAAACAAAAGCCTGCAAAGTGGGCGCGACGACCAGGTGGGTGAGGTGACCACCTTCAGAATTGCTCCTTCCGGAGCGGATGGAGCATCGGAAGCAATCATTCGCAGCGCAACTTGGGGGTTCGCTTAGTGTGGTGGCCCACGCATGCCATCGTAATCTCGTCGATCCCCACTTTGGGTAGACGGTACCTTTAACACCCAGCGATTAGTACGGGTTTAAACGGGAATCAGTCCCGCATTCTGGAAGCTCTCGCTCAATCACACATCCATCAA